CCTTCCTTACCAGAGTCTCCATAGTAAACAGAGAGATGGAGAGAGTGGTGTAAGATCCGGAAGCTTACAAATGGAAGAAAAACACACCTGGATCACTGGTGCACTTGCCTGGATGCCACAGGATGATTGCAGAGCATCCACTGGCACTGCCCTGCCCCGTCTATGGGTGCTTTGCACAGCTCCACCCCTGCATTGGCTTCACTGGGGCCGTGGCTGGCAGGCCTTTTGGGAGCAGCCACCTGCCCTCTCTTGCCCTCGTCGTGTGCAGCTGGAAGATGCAGGAAGGGCAAAATCCTGGAGGGGCAAAATCCAGGGCAAGCTCTTGCAAAAGTACTTCCGCCGCTTCGTTTTCTGCCTAGGCAACTCTCTGCAGCAGCGCAGGTAAGGATGCAGGTGGGCAGGGCAGCTGCAACAGGGCGCGGAGGTGCCTGGTGGTGCAGCTGGCGTCCTTTTCCCCTTCTGCACCAAGCCTGGATGGGTTGAGGACTCCTGCCCCGTTTCAAACCAGGCCATTCTCCGCCGGGCTTCTCTCTGTGAGCCGTTTAACCCCGCACTTTCCCAAGGCTGCTTCCTCCATTTTCTTTGCGGGAGCATCACAACATCCCTCACATGAGCTTTTCCCCCAGGGATTTTGCTCCCTGCCCTTCTGCACTGTCACGGACCATACAAGGCGGTGCTGTGGGAGAGAGCAGAGTCCTAAACTGCACAAGGCTTCTGTAGTGAATCATGGTGGCATCCAGGAAAATAGCCGCCCTTCCTTGCTCGAAAGGAGCTGTGAAAATGGCTGGAGAACGGCCCTGGGGGACGTCATGGAACAGAACCGCAAACTTCTTCCGGGAAAGGTTTGCAAACACACCATAATTGCCCTGCAGGGAGAAGCCGAATAAGAACACGCTGGCATTTGCTCTGGTTCTTTGTTCTTGTCCCGAGTTGCAGGGCTTGCTTTGTCCTTGCCTCCGGTCTGTTCCTGTCATCCCGTGCCATCTCTTTTATTTCCGCTGGCCTCAGCTTCCAGTCCTGCTGCAGTTCGAGTATTTGTCCCTTGAACGGATTAATTTGTTGCTGCCCAAGTTACAGTTCCGGTGATGTTGCACGTCTGATTGACATGGAAGTACGGATGCAGCTGCCTGGGGAGGCCGAGGGTGCCGTGTGTGTTGCGGCTGTCTTCCACAAACCTCCGGAGTCCTAATCTGGGGCTCAAACTCTGACCCACCTTCAGTCTCCCCCCAAACCCAAGGGACTTAAAGGGGCTTCCCTTTATGCACATGCAGGGTCTTTGTTTTATTCATTCATTATATTTATATACCACTTTTTCCTGCAAGGAGCTCAAGGCAGCTTACATAATCTTCCTCTTCTCCAGCTTATCTGCACAACAACCCTGTGAGGTAGGTTGGGCTGAAGGTAGTAACTGGCCCAAAATCTCCCAGGGAACTTCATAACTGAGTGGGGATTCAAAACCACGTCTCCCTAGTCCCCATCCAACTCTGTCATTGCCGCAGTGATATTCCAGTTGTTACAAGATGGCATTAAAGCATGCAAGCCCATGCTCCTGAGCTCAGTAATCGTGAGGCCTGCAAGTTTATGCACGGTCAGGCAGAAAAAGATCCTGCCATGCCCAACATAAGGGAAGGAGAGGTTTCACTCGCTCCCTGTAGTGTAGGCAGGGCAAAGCTTCTGCAGCGGAATACCGGTCCAGCAAAAGAGATAAGTCCAGCCTAGGCAGACCTCCCTGTGCTTTAAGCCATGTGGGTGAAGGCTGCTACCCTGTTTCAGAAGCAACCTGCAGCAGCCAAGATGAAAAGTCAGCACTTGGGTTTCGCTGCTATAAATTGGCCATCCTTTTGGCACCAGGTGGAGCGGTCCTCTTCTCTGAGGCCTTAAAGAGTGAACTGGCCACCCAGGGGCATGAGGGGCATCCCCCCTCCCAGGTGCTTTGCAGAGCTGTTCTTCCCAGCAGAGGACAAGAGGATGGCGTTCCATGTGGAGAAGCACAAGGTCTTGCACTTGGGGCACAGGAATGGGTGTCGTAAGTGCAGGTTAGGGGACAAGTGGCTGGAGAGCAGCGCTTGTGAAAGGGACCTCGGGGTGCTGGTCGACTGCAGGCTGAACGTGAGCCAGCCGTGTGATGCGGTGGCCAAGAGGGCGAACGCCAGCCTTGGTTGCATAGCCAGAGGTGTGACTTCCAGATCAAGAGAGGTGCTGGGGCCGCTCTATAAGATTCTGGGGCGCCCACAACTGGGGTATTTTGTCCAGTTCTGGGCTCCACATTAAGAGAGTGGCATAGCAAGGTTGGAATCAGTTCAGTGCAGGGTCACAAGGATGGTAGCCAGATTGGGGGGTGACATATGACATGAGATCGAGGGAGCTGCATCTTTCAGCCTGGAGAAGAGGAGACTCCGAGGGGATCTTATAGTGACTTACAGGTATGTGAAGGGTGTCACACGGTGGAGGGTCATGACCTGTTCTCCCCCAAGGTGAAGGAAAGGACATGGTCCAATGGGGCGAAGCTCAAGGAACCAGGCTTCAGGTTGGATGTCAGGGAGTACTTCTGGGCGATCAGAACCCCTGGCTATGGAATGGGCTTCCATGGGAGGTGGTGGAGGCCCCATCCATGAGGGTGTTCAAGGAAAGATTGGACAGCCACATGCTGGGGATTACACGAGCCGACCCAGCTGGATCCGGGGGTCAGACTAGATGGCCTTCGGGACCCCGTCTGACTTGCTTTTTATGTTTCTATGCTTCCTATTGTTTGTTTTTAGCAGTTTTAAAGTTTTAACGTTTTTTTTTTCTGATTTTATGATGGTTTAGTGCACTTTTATTGTCTGCTGTTATGGGTTATTGTAAGCCACCCAGAGAGCCTCGGTTGTGGGACAGTATAGAAATGAAAATAATACTAACAACAACAACAACACTATAAGCCCATATTTCTTATTAGGGCCAACTGGTGAGTGTCTTTACAGAGGGGAAAGGGATAACATTCAGCAACACACATTATCCAACAGTTATCCTAAATAAATATCTAATTGATTTATTTGTTTATTTATTCACATTTTTATAGACCATTGGCAATAGCAACATGGCTCTCTGGACAGTTTAGAGCAATTAAAACCATCCAACAAAACATAAAAATCCAGCAGCATTAACAAATTAAAATAATAAAACATCCATTCCAACAGTGGGTGCCCCAACCATGTCGACTTAATACAATAACCACATTCGACAACATCTTATATATAAATAACAATTAAAATGTTAAAATTCATCAATTAAAATACCAACCTAAAATTAAAAATTAAAAAAAAAATCTGCTGAATGTTTCAGTTGTGCCGAGGGCCGCCCTGTTGCTTGCCCAACTGGGTGTGCAAGCAGTTGTGCTGGGGTTGCGCAAGTGGAATGCATATTGGGCTGTATGATGGGTACACACACATGCACAGCTGCATACACAAGTGGAACACACAACAGGGTTGCACAAGAGCCTGTACCACAAGCAGCGGAAATCTCACTTGGGCAAACGTAGCTTTAGGTGGAGTCTTCCCTTGCTACAGTTCAGAACCTGGTTTCTGCAGATACGACATCATTAGCACTAATGGAAGGACACAGTTGGATGCTCTGCGCTGAGATTGAGAAAGTTTCGGAAGTGCCCACATCTGTTTATCTGTAGCTAAGCATGAGTCTTCCCCTGGAAGCCGAGGCTGTTGTGCGTACTTGGGGCATATCATGAGAAGGGGACGCTCTGGAGAAGACAATCAAGCGAGGGAAAGTCGGAGGCTGAAGAAGAAAAGGAGGACCAAACAGGAGATGGACCGAATCCATGACAGAAGCGCCAGCCTTGAACTTGGAAGAGCTGAATGGAGTTGCCATGGATTCTGGAAAGCTTTCATTCATGAGCTCACCATAAGTTGGGGGCAACCTGCCAGCACTTCACAACAACAGCACATCGTGTGTCTTCACACCAAAAAGGAACCAAAGGGAGAGATTCAAGATCACGTTCCGCATGCAAGACAGAGATGGAGGCAAGAGGTCGTGAAGCTGAAGAAGAGGGCCGTTGCCAGCGTTCCCCTGGGTGGCTGGACCATGAGGGTCTCCTCTCTGGATATGTGCAGGATTGCCCCCTAAGAGAAAACATCCCCCGATAGGTCAGGGACCTGGCTGAGAGGAAGGCAGCGTCCGGACACTGTCCCCACCGTCTGCACAGTCAGTGGGAAGGAAGGTCTTGTGACAGTGACTGCGCTCGCCACGAGCCAAATTCCTTGCGGAAAACGAGGGGATGGGCTTCATTCAGAGCCAGAAAGGAAGGGGGTGCAAAGGGGCGGGGCAGCCAGGGCGACTTCCCACGAACGTCCCGTTTTGCTGTTACCCCTTTTCATCCACAGCCCATCACCCAAGGGCCGAAGCACCACTGCCTGCCACTCGGCCACCTTCCACAAGGGTGCTTCGTCCACCAGTCAAGAGGCCCAGGAGTGCGAGGTTTCCACCTTGCGCCGCTGGCTGTTTTTTCCCACTCAAAAATCTCTACCACTTTTTCTTCTACCCACCAGGGGAAAGATTTCTCCACTCTTCCTGCAGAGCTCTGCCCGATTGCTAGTTTTTAATTTTTAAAAGAGCATGGCAGGAAATGTTTCCGCGTAGCTGTGGGTTGCCTCGTTCTCTCTAATGGCAAACTCGGTGGTTGAGTGCAAATTTCTTCTTTAGTCAAAGCAGGGCTGTTGAGGAACCCAAAGGAGGAATTACCACGCAAGGGGAAACTCAAAGTTTGCAAAAGCAGGGAGAATACGTAAGAAGAGAAAGCCCGGGAGAGGCAAAAACACTCCCCAGAGAGCCAAAGAAGACTGGGGATACTCAGGATATTACACGTCTTGCACAAAGGATCTGCTGGAATGGAATGGAGTGCGGCAGAAGATACTGGCCGGCTGGGACCCCAAGCCTTCTATCGCGAGTCCCACATCTTTGACTGAGCTTCCCTGGAAGGTGCCTGCTGTCGCCCTGCGGCTTGTACTCACCGGCAGCTCTTCTCAACGAAGGGCTCAGCAGAAGGCTCAAGCACAGGCTCCAAAAGTAGCCGCCGAAAGCCATGGGGGCTTCTGAGGGTGTGGCAGCAGTTCCGGGACACCAGCCTCTGACTGCGGGCTCTGCCGGCCTGGGCCGGGGCCAACGCTGTCAGATGATTCTGCCTGGGGCATTTCTGCAAGCGTATAGTCTGGGGTTAGTGCAAGAGGGAAGTGACACAAGGAAATGAGGACATGCTGGAGTTTCCTCCGCCAGTCACTGCTTTGCTGCTCCAGCACAGTGAGGAAAGGTCTGCTCGGGGAGGGAGCAGGCAGCGGATTGGATAGGTCCATCCTCAAAGGTAGACTTGGTAGGACAGGTGGACCCATCTGGGGAGGGGACTCGCTCTCAGCCCCTGTACAGGGACACTCGCTCTTGCGCAGATGGAAGCAACACCCCAGATGGGCAACCCCAGAAGAGCAAGGTTGGAAGGGGTCTCTAAGCTGTCACACCTGAGCCCCTGCTCCATGCAGGTCTGCAAGTTAAACTGTCCTGCTCAGGTTTCCCAAGTTAAAGCACCCGCAACTGATGGCTGTCCAGGTGGATCTTGAATGCCTTCGTGGTGGGAGAGCCCATGGGCTCCATTGTCGTACCACTCCGACAATCAGGAAGTTCTCCCTGATGTTCAGCCAGAACCTGGCTTCCTGTGAACTGAGCCCGCTATGGGATGGCGGAGAAGAGATCCCGTCCTCTCTCTCCGGGCGCTTGCAGCCTGCCATCGCACCTCCCCTCAGTCCTCCCTTCTCAAGGCTGAACAGGCCCAGTTCTCTCAGTCCCTCCTCAAGGGGCTTTGCTTCCCGTCCCCGAATCATCTGTATTGCCTTCCTCTGAGCCCTTTGCAGCTTGTCCGCATCCTTTCAAACTGTGGTGCCCAGAACTGGACGCAGGACTCCAAGCGAGGCTTAACCAACGCTGAGTGAAGGGGAACTAGCGCCTCACGGGGTTCAAAAGTGATCGTTCTGCTAATGCAACCTAAAATAGCCTTTGACCCACATCACATGGTTGACTCATTTTCAGCTCATGATCTGCAACAACTTCAAGATCTTGCTCACTTGTTGCGCCAAGTAGCTTTTCCTGTCGTATGACTCTTTATCTTCACACTGGACGTGAATGGGACACCCCTTCAAACAGAAGACGCACAATTATATACATTGTACTTCGCCCAACAATCCGTGTTCTCTGGGGGGATTACAAACAGTTATAACATTCTCAGCGACCTATGCCTTGCTGAAGCTACAGGGATGTACATACTTACTCCCATTGAACTCAGTGCAAATACTTCTGTGCAAAGATTTTATTTATTTTATTTTATTTTTATTGTTGGATTTATATCCTGCCGTTTTCCTACAAAGGGCTGAAGGCAGCTTACATCCTTCTCCTCCTCCATCTTATCCCCACAACAACAACCCTGTGAGGTAGGTTGGGCTGAGAGTCTGTGACTGGCCCAAAGCCACCCAGTGGGATCCATGGCCGAGCGGGGACTCGAACCCGGATCGCCTGAGTCCCAGTCCCATGCTCTTAACCACTGCACCACACTGCCTCTCCTCTTTATCAAAATTATCTATCAATCTATCAGTCTGTCTGTCTGTCTGTCTCTCTTTCCATTTATATCCTGCCTTTTTCCTACAAGGGCTCAAGGTAGCATACATCATCTCTCCTCCTCCATCTTATCCCCACAACAACAGCCCTGTGAGGCAGGTTGGGCTGAGAGTCTGTGACTGGCCCAAAGCCCCCCAGTGGGCTCCATGGCCGAGCGGGGACTCGAACTCGGATCGCCTGAGTCCCAGTCCCAGCTCTTAACCACCGCACCACACTGGCTCTCAGATCTACATGATTGTACCATGGGATGTAAATTCCTCTATGAATTTGTCTTTTAAAGCCACTCAGATTGGTGTCCATCACTACTCCCAGTGGACTTAACAAGACACTGTGTGATGGAGTCCTTCATCTGATCTGTCCTAAACCTCCCATCCTTCAGCTTCATGGGAGGATCCCGGGTTCAAGCGATGGGAGAGGGAGAAGACTGTCCCTCTTTCCACTGTCTCCACAAACGCCTCTTTCGTGTCTCCCCTTTACCCCCCTTTTTCCTTAGCTGACCCGTCACAGTTGTTGCGGCAGCTCTTCAAAGGGGAGCTGCTCCAGCCCCTTGATCAATCTTGCTGTCCTTCTCTGTACTTTTCCCAACTCCATAATGCCCTTTTTGGTGCCGGAGGGGAGTTTTGCAAATATACCAAACTAAGAGAAAGATGAACAAGGGGGTCCCAGATTCAATGAAGCCAAAACTTGTCCTGGAAGCAAAATTCACAAAGCCGAAGCTGTTGTACTTTGGGCATATGAGAAGGCAAGACTCACTGCAGAAGGGGAAGGGGAAGGAAGGGGGGGGGGGATCAATATCAGGTGAGTCACCCCCATAAAGGAAGCCACAGTCTTGAGTTAACAAAAACTGAGCAGGGCTGTCAAGGACAAAACATTTTGGAAGACCTGCATAAGTTGCAGATGACTTGATGGATGTAACAACAAAATGCCCCTTTTCAGGTGGAATGACGAGAACTATACACAATATTCTAAGTGCATTCATGCCAAACTGTTGAATACGGGCATCTATATTTATTTATTTATCTATCTATCTATCTAAAGTTTCTATATGCTGTCCCCTTGCTACATAGCCTCGGGACGGCTCACAGCAATAAATAAATAAAACATGTACAATTACAATTAAAACTTGGAAACACACTGGCTGCACAATTAAAAACTATAAATATTAAAGATTATTAAAATACTGTTTGAATAAAAAGGTCTTAGCCTGGTGCCGAAAAACAAATAACAACGGTGCCAGGCGGACCTCTCTGGGGAGCACATTCCACAGATGGGGCGCCGCCGCAGAGAAGGCCCTCCTCCGGGTACTTTGCCTCCTGATGTCTCTCCCGGAGGGCTCGCGGAGGAGGGCCTCTGCTGCCGATCTCAAGGGGCAGGAGGGCAAATATGGCCGCAGGCGTTCCTTCAGGTATCCGGGTCCCAAGCCGTTAAGGGCTTTATATGTAATTACCAACACCTTGCATCGAGCCCGGACTTCTATGGGAAGCCAGTGAAGCTGGTAGAGGACTGGGGTTATATGATAATCAGAATATTCTCAATTCCTTTTCTGATTGTTCCTAACATGGAGTTTCATTCAGCAGCCCAACAGACTCCCAAGAGCGCTTTCCTGAGCCATCACGGCCAGCTCAGATCCCGCAGCCTGCACTTGAATTCGGAGTTTTTGTTCCAACGTGCGATACTTTGCACTTGCTTATACTGAACGGTGCTTGCCATGTGGGTGCCCATTTTCCCAGCTTGGAGAGGTCCCTCTGGAGCTCCTCGCAATCCTTTTTGGGTTCAACCACCTAAACCATTTGATGTCATCAGCAAATGTGGCCACTTCACTTCCCACTCCTAATTCCAGATGATTTATGAATAGGTTGAAAACTGCTCTTAATACAGAACCTCACAGGACCCCATGGGTGAAGTTTCTCCGCTGGGAGAAGTTGCCCTCTATTCCCACCCTCTGCCTTCTGTCCTCTAACCAGTCAGTGACCCATAAGAGGACTTCCCCTTTTGTTCCATGACCACTTAGTTTTCCCAGAAGCCTTTGAGGAGGGACTTTGTCAAAAGCCCTTTGGAAGTCCAAGGAAACCATGTCTCCCCAATCGTTCTGTCCATGTGCTTTTCGACACTCTCCGAGAACTCCGGTAGGTGGGTGAGATGGGACTTCCTCTTGTGGAAACCATGCTGATTCTTTCAGCAGAGCTACTATTAGCTCACTTCTATAGCTCCTTGTGATTTTGAGGGTGTGATCTTTTCACTCTTCCCCTCGATGCACGGAAGCCTCAAACTCACACATCCCTGAGATCCCAGTGCCCAGCGCTTCTCACCACAGTTTCAGCCAAATCGCAATAAAAGCGAAATCAGGCCCAGCAGATCTGGCTGCTGCTGTGGCCAACTTGGGCGCAACGAGAACACAAGCTGAAATAAAGCAACGTGCAAAACATGCACGGCATAAGAACGCACCACAATGAGTCGAGTCGAGTCGAGTCGAGGCACAGAAAGCTTTGATCACGGATTTCCACTGTCAGGCGGGAAGCAACCTCTGAAATCAGCCGTGTCTAATGGGGCCACAAGAGGGCTCCCAAGTATCATTTTTCCTACAAAAGCAGCAGGAAAAAAAGACCGGGAGCACAGCCCAGTGGAGGGACCGTACTGCCGACTAGGGGGGTTACAGGCTGGAAGCACAAGGAAGGGGCTGCCCAGATGCTCCAGACCTTGGCAGAGCGGTCTCCTTCCCTCCCCGGAGCCAAAAGTCATCTCCAGCGTCATCTCCTTGGGCACGAGCTGGAGCAGATCTTTCTGCGAAGGCAGGTGCTCCACAGGCCGAGCCTGAGTCCCGAGCTTGGAGCAGGCCAGAGCAGGGACTCGGAAAAGCCCCAAACCGAGTGACGCTGCCTAGCAGCTCAGCCCAGATTTCCTACACTTTGCCCCGTTCTTTCTGTGCCCCTGCAAATGCCCCGCCCTGCAAGTCCTTAGCAATCTCCGGGAAATATTATGGGATATTATGGGAAGGGATGGTGCAGAAATGTCTTCGCTGCCAAGTCAGGATAATACTCTGCTGGCTGGAATAACGCATTCCCCAGCTTTCCATCTTAAAAGGCATTCGTGCCTCAAGCAGCCAGCAGTCCATCTAAAACAGAAGTCCACTTTAAGGTGGCAACTCATAAAAGAGCCATTGCATGAAGATGCAGCTCAGGAAACAGTGCAGAACACGGCGGGATATTCCAAAGCCAGTAGCAGAATCCACGGAAGTGAAAGAATGTGGTGGAAGAATTTTGGAGGGTCGTGAGTGTGTAGGCAAGAAGACGACATGGGCCGCACATGATCACAGCTGAGTGCTGCCTGCCCCAGAAAAACACAAACTAAAGAGTTAAGACATCCCGGATCCAGACTGCTTTAGGTCACCCTTTGAGTTGGCCCAGAAGCAAAGTTGTAGCCCACTGCTATTCTCTGATAAAGTTCTTCTGGTGAGAATTTTATCGACATGCCCTAGGATCTCCTAAGAAGTGTAGAAGTCTGGCAAGAATCCTGAACTCCTTAGGAAAAGGAGATGGATCTCTGTCTGAGCTTCAGTGGGTTTGGGCTTCTTGCTCAGTCCAACCCAGTTTGCAGAGAGAAATGGTCCCACATCCCCATTCCAGGTGAATGAAGTGGGGAATATCACCTGCAGTGCAGGAGGGTTTTATCCCAACAGTATCAGCCTGGACCTGTTGCAGAACTGCAAGGAAACCCACCACAAGCTCTGGAGGCAGGAGGGGACGCTGTCCTGAGACATTCCTGGGAAATAGCAGCCATTGAGCAGATCTATGCGCACCTGCCGAGCACAGCCCTCAGAGCGCACATTTACAATCACGAGAGGGTTGAATCATCGGAGGGCTGTGGAGTTACAGGTAAACACCAGGAATGGACACGCACCTGAACCAACTGCCCCGCCTCCACATGCAGGTGGACCAAAGGGTCGCCAAATCCAGCAAGGCTGGCTGGTGCCTGCGCTGCATCAGCTTCCTTAGCAGGGCCGGTCCCACCAGAAGGCACATTGAGGCACTGGCCTCGGGCAGCAGACGCTGGAGGTCAGGGAGCCTGCCAAAGGCCTGGTCCATGACTTAGTCCACCCACACACCCCGCGTGCCTCGGGTTCACGTTGCAACTTCCTGTTTGTCCTCTGCGGCCTGGCTCCAGAACAGAAGCTTGCACAGGGCGCTAAGAGGAATCGCCTGATTCTTAGCCCTGCCTCACACCAGCTAAGGCCGCAGCACAAATTGTGCAGCACTAACATTGCACATTCTAGTCTGCGCTAGAAAATGTGGCAGACTGTGCCTCGGGCCGGAGGTTATACACGTCCCAGCAGGCCATGGCTTTCCTCGCCGGGACCTCGGAGGTGACGTGCGGCCAGCTTGGGTCGTTCGGACTCCTTTCCCGGATGAGAGCAGCCCCAGTCTGAAGATGAGCGGGAGCACTGTGGAGTCCTTCAGAAGCAAGCGCCGAGTGTACTTGGGCGCTTTGGACCAGACGATGAACAGGAGGCACAGAATGCAGCCACCTCTCCGGAGCACCAAGCCTGGTCTTGTCCGGTACACTTTGCTGGGCGAAGACGGGCGATCTGTGGCTGTGGGAACACAGCAGTCAGCCAACACCGAGGCCGGACCATGTCTGGACTCCTTGAGACGGATTCTTCTGTTCAGCAGGTTTTCTGTTTTCCCCAGGTGCTTAGCTAAGGCGTAACCTTGGCCTCTGGGAAAGGAACGAAGGAAAACTGGTTCTGGGCAGATTGGGCGCGACCGAACCAGACAAGGAAAGCCACATGAGGCGAGACGGGGGGGGGGGGCTGGAGAAGAGGAGACGCCGAGGGGGTCTGCTGGCGACACACAGGCATGTGAGGGGGTGTCACACGGAGGTGGGTAGAGGCCTGTTCTCCCCTGCAGAGGAAGGCAGGACGCGCCCCAACAGAGCAAAGCTCAGGGAACCCAGGTTCCATTTGGATGCCAGGAAGCACTTCCTGACAGTCAGGACCCCGAGGGTGTTGAATGGGCTTCCACAGGAGGAGGTTGAGGCCCCATCGGTGCGGGTGCTCAAGGAAAGGCTGGACGTCCACATGGTGGGCATGTCGTGAGCGGAGCCGGCTGGAGCCAGGGTCAGGCTAGAAGGCCCGGGAGACCCCTTCTAACTTGCTCTGTTTCTAAGTTTCTATGACTGGCCCAAAGCAACCAGGAACCTTCATTGTCAAGAGGAGACTCGAACCCGGATCTGCCAACCCCCTTCAAGTCCCCTGCCACCACACCACAAGGGCCCTGACCAGCTTCCCGTTGGATGACACCCACTGGGGGTTGCAACCTGCACTGGGCTGTCAGGACATGCAAACGTCTGGGCAGTGGTGCGGGGCCCAGCCCTCCCTCTTTTCTGAAAGATGTCCCTTTCAGAAAAGATGTGGGGCATAGAGTTAGATGCAAAGTAGGTGCTTTCACAGAACCATGGAAGATGCAAGAAGGCCACCGGGGTCCAACCCCCTGCTGTTGCAGGACACCACGTCACACCATCCACTCAGAGGGCTGTCCAGTTCCTTTTGGATGTCTCTCGTGTGGGAGAGCCCACCAACTCTCCAGGCAGCTGGTTCCACGGTCATGTTGCCCTGACACTGAGGAAGCTTTTAGAAACTGAGAAAGAGAGCGAGTCAGAAGGGGTCTCCCAGGCCATCTAGTCTGACCCCCGGCTCCAGCCGGCTCCGCTCACAACATGCCCACCATGTGCAGGTCCAGCCTGTCCTTGAGCACCCACACCGATGGGGCCTCAACCACCTCCCGTGGAAGCCCATCCCATGCCCTGGGGGTCCTCACCATCAGGAAGTGCTTCCTGGCATCCACCTTGAACCTGGGTTCCCTGAGCTTGGCTCCGTTGGAGCACATCCTGCCTTCCTCTGCAGGGGAGAACAGGCCTCTACCCACCTCACATAGTTTTCTGAGATCTAGCCTAAACCTGGGTTGTCACTACTCGACTTGATTATTCCGTGTCCTGCTCTCTGATATTGGTGAGAAGACAGCCCACCCTTGCTCTTTGTGACAGCCTTTGAGGTCCTTCCCGTGGGATACCATGCACCGTGTTTCTGTGTTTCTATTATCATGAGATTGATGGTGTCACAGCACAGGGAAACGAAGTGGGGGACAGCATGAACTAGCTCTCATGGGCAGATTTTGTAAGAACTGTTCCCGTTCTCTAGGGGCTTCCTTTTTCTTACAGAAATTGACCTCCATGAATCTATCCTATCTGCACAGAGATGTGGCAGTGAGGTGCAATCAAAGGCGGGCTCAGTTGCTGAAAGTTAAGAGGAGGAAGCATCCATTTCCTCTGCTTTCTTCACAGTCCTGATGGGGCAAGAGACAGAACCAGAAAGAGCACTGAAGGTTCCCGTCTCGGCCACCCCGATGGCTGCCTCAAGCCCCTTCCCTGGGCCGCTGTGTGTGATCCAGCTGCTGCTCCTTCTCTTGGAAATCCTTGGTGAGTGTTTGCGGGCAGAAGGTGGACTTTCTCCTGAGCTCCTGCGCTCAGTTTTCCAGCTGCAGGGTGGTTACTGGGGCAATGCCTAACTGGGGGGGGGGGGGGGTGGACAGGTGCCCCTGCTGGTTCTGATGCCGGGTTTTGGCAAGATGATTTTGGTGGGGACATCGTGTGCTGCTCCCGCTGCCTGGTCTCAGGGGCGTCTCTGAACCAGACAGGTAATACTTCCGGCTGCTCCAGGAGGGCAGGGGGCCAAGCCATGAGCCCTGGGAAGGCAGCAGCAAGTCCTTGCCGCACGCACTGAGCGGCTCCCACGTGCCAGCTGACCCAAGGTGCCCCAGCAGCACCCCAGCTGCCATTGCGAGCCACTCCAGGTTCTCTGTGGCTCGACGCTCCCACCACAGGAGCCTGCAAAATCCAGTTGGACAGCCCCCCGCAGCCCCCTCAAAGGGTCGTAGCAAAGCAAAGTTTTGTGGGCAAGGAGCTTGCACACTGTTGGGAAATCTCGGAATCACAGACCAGAAGAATGTATGTTCAGATTCACACAAAAGACCCGACATTCATGAGAAGGGGAGGATAATGGGGAAGTGCAAAAATATAATGCAGAAACACCAAGAAATCATTATAGCCATCAGGAAAAACATCATGGCACATCAGAGTCTTGAGAAACAGATAATAAAAAAATCAATCAGCAGTTAAACATTCTAACAGGCTTCAAAGTTTTGTTTTTTGGCTCTGGCCTCTTGGCAGAGCAGCAGAGCAGCGGAGGCACAGGCTGGGAGAGAGGGCTGCATGGCCAGGGGACCAGTGAAGGCAAGGCAGGAGCTGGGCAGGGGGGCAGGGGGCCAGGGGCAGCGGAGAGGAAGGGGGCGGGGCCAGGAGGGAGCAGGGGGCGGGGCCACCGGCCGGAGGGACTGATAAGGCGTCCTCCCTGTCTGCGTCCCTTGGCTGTGGCCCGGGCTGCCCGGGGACTCCCTTCCCTGGGAGGCTGAGGGTTTTGCTTTCTTCTCTTCCCAAGGCTGAACACGCCCAGTGCTTCGCCTCTTCCCACAGGACCAGTCCAACACCCTGAAACGCAACTCGGAGGGCTCCCAGTGAGCGCGCTGCAAATGTCCAGAAGGACAGGAGGGGGCTGCGGGGGGACGACGGAGAGGCAGCTCTTGCAGGGACGTGGGCTGAGCAGGGGAAGGCCGTCCGGCGAGTGCCAGGGGGCCAGCTCCCAGCCTGGCTTCCCCTCCCCTGCCCCCATGCCCACCGCTGTCTCGGCGCTGACGCCTCGCTCCCCCCCTCCCCTCACCGCTGCCGCTGTCGGCACTCCAGGCGTGGGCAGAGCACCCCCAGACAGACCGCACGGGGGGTCCTGTGAAGCGTGGCAAAAGGGTTCAGGGTTCGAGTCCTCGCTCAGCCATGAAGCTCACCGGCTGACATTGGGCCAGTCACAGACTCTCAGCCCAACCTACCTCGACGGGCTGTTGTTGTGGGCATAAACATGGAGCTAAGCAAGCCGCCTTGGGTTCCTCCCAAGAGGAGAAAAGGGCAGGAAGGCAGCAGAATAAGAAGAGCGGCAGCCGCGGTAGTTCAATGCTTGGATGCTTGTGAGCTGGACTGAGCGGAATGGGGGGGGAGCTGCGCTCGCTTGGATCCCGCGAGCTCCATGGACCCGCCCCTGCGTCCCGCAAAGTGGCCTTGGACGGCATAAACGGACGGGGTGAAATTCCTTTTCTGCAGGTGCCGCGGCCCAGAAGCTGGAGGTGCTGCAGTCCCAGGGACCCGTGTCGGTGTCCGTAGGACAGACCCTCACGCTGAATTGCATGCTCAGGGGGGATCCCGTGCCCGGAGGTGTGCGGTGGCACAAGGGCTCAGACCGGCAACAGCCCCCGATATATAGCCAGAAACAGCCCTTTCCCCGCCGGGTGATCAGGGTCATTCCTGAGTCAAACACGGACTTCACCATCCGGATCACAGACATCCGACCTGAGGACGCAGGCACCTATTTCTGTGTGAAGTACAGATTAAGAGTCACGGGGGAATCGGAGCAGGCGTCTGGAGCAGGCACGGAGGTGTCGGTGATCGGTGAGTCGCGCCCGGACTTATTTCAAAAACCTGGAAGCAAAAGACAGCACAGTGCCTGCGCTGCAATAAAACCCAAGATATTTTCTCTGGGGTTTTTTGGAGGGTGGGGAGGGGGTTGCATTGACAGAAGACTGTTTTCAGGACTTCAAATTTAAATGTGGGTATGGCGGGGGGGCAAAGATTCTCCGTGCCTTTTCTGCTCCCCTTGCTCAGGTCTGAGCTCCCCTTTTCTGCAGCAGAGCCCAAAGGCAGCGGCTACTTCCTTGAAAGTCTAGACTTCACTGCAAGCATTTGTGGAATGTGTTTGGGTAGCCCTTTTGTAAACTCGGGTGGGGAACCGCCTCGATTCCGGATGCCTTTTCCCTGGTGGGGAAAATCAGCGGACACTGTGCCTGGTTTCTCATTTGTTGGAGAGGGAGAGGATTTGAAGGGTCGGAAGCGACCCAGGAAGCTTCAGTGACCGAGTAGAACAGAAATGAACGCAGCAAACGAAAAATGTGAAAACTGCTTTGCAGATGTGTGCAGACGCACTTGCGTGAGCAAAGCTGAATGGGAATCTGGCTTTAAAAAAATCAATTTTGTCAATGAGCAGAGGATGGAGAAGGTGCTTGACAATCCATGAAGCGAATTGAAGACGTCTGATGATCCACGAGACAAAGCAGGTTTAGCAGGACCTACAGATCCCTAGTGGGGAGCAGGTGTAGAACCCCTTTCCTGCCCGTTGTTTCCCTTCTCGCCGAGCTCGGTTCCCCCGGTGTGTATTTCCTTGACTGGAAAGAAATCAGAATCGCCAAGCTAGCTCTCCCGAGATGTCCTGGCCAAAGGCCTCAAATCCAGGGCCTGATCCACGCATGGGGCAGCCACAGCGGCCCCCCCGCCCCCCGCCCCCCAGTACTGGAGCAACAAGGGTGGTGGCGGAAGAGCTGCTGGCGCGTTTCTCCCTGCCCGCCGTGAGAGGTGGGGCTGGAAGGCCAGCACCCCTGGGGGCACTGGGGCGGCGGGGGCTGCCCAGCACGGCCCCGTCCATGCGCTCGCAGGTCCCCTTCCGGCATGTGCCGTGACCCCAGCAGCCCCGCCCTTTCTCTCTGCGCTCTGCGCCTGCAGAGGGGTTCTGTGGGCCATGGCGCACCTGTTGATGTGTGGTCGGTGTGTGTGTGTGTGTCCCCCGCAGCTACGCCATCCCAGCCCGTCATCACTGCCCCCTCCGGCCGAGTGGCGCCAGGAAGCACCGTCGCCTTCAACTGCTCCACAGGCGGATTTTATCCCCGCGACATCACAGTCACCTGGTTCAAGGGCAGCTCCGAAATCAAAGCCTCGGACACCGACACCGTCGTTCTGCCTCTAGGAGATAACATCACCTACCAGGTCTGGAGCACTGTGAAAGTGCAGCTCTGCAGAGAGGACCTGATGACCCAGCTGCTGTGCAGGATCACACACAAGGCCGTTGTTGGCACCTTGGAGCAAAGTTTTCGGCTTGCCGATGTCCTCCGAGGTATGGGACAGGTGGGGCTCCAGGTGCCGGTTTGGGAGGAGCTGCAAGGAAGGGGACAGGTGCAGGTCCGGGATGCCAGGTCAAAGGAGCGGGCGCGATTCCCTCCACGCCACGCTGCTTTCGCGTTACTTGAAGCCGTTTGGTTGGCTTCGGGGTCCCGCAGGACAGACCCTCACGCTGCCTTGCACGCTCAGGGGGGCTGCCGGGCCCAGAGGTGTGCGGTGGCACAAGGGCTCCGACCGGCAACAGCCCCCGATATATAGCCAGAGAGAGCCCTTTCCCCGCCGGGTGATCAGGGTCATTCCTGAGTCGAGCACAGACTTCACCATCTGGATCACAGACATCTGACCTGAGGACGCAGGGACCTATTTCTGTGTGAAGTACAGATTAAGAGTCGGGGGGAATCAGAGGAGGCGTCTGGAGCAGGCACGGAGGTGTCGGTGATCGGTGAGTGCGCGTGAGGAGGGACACGCGACCGGCTTGGCTCGCTTGCCAGTGACGGAGCGCTCGGGGTGCGGGACGCTGAAGAAAGCCCTGGCAACGTTTCTGCAGAACTCGCCTCTCTTGGGGGCTTCCTCTGTCAAGGGAGCTTGCTCTGCTTTGGAGGCTGGTTCCCAGCAGCCGGAGCGGCCCATCCCCACTTCTCCCTGCAGTCGGACCACCAACGGGTGGCTCCCGAGAGAGAAGGGCAGTGATGTGTGGGTTGGTTGCTGCATACACCCAAAGGTGTGAGGGACCTCAGATCACGAAAGTGGGATGTATGGTTGGATGGAGGTGCAGAATCCTGAACAGCAGAGTTCAGAGGGGCCGGGGAGACCTTTGGGTCTCACCCACTCCCAGCTAAACCGCCTCCCCAGCTGGCAGATTCAGGCCAAATCCAGCCTTTCTGGATTGCCGGTGTCACTGCCGCTGGCTTCCGAGAACGTTCTGCACACATTCCTCTCCGGAACAGGCTGTGCAGTCATTACTGGACCCACACGCTCATCAAAGCCATTGTCTTCTCACTCTGTTGTTCTGATCATAATCAACAAGCAACCATCAGGTGGTAACAGTCTGTGGAACTGAAAACCAACTAGTGTGTGGATTAAAATCACTACCTCTGTCTCTGATGGTGATTTAGCACCAGGCCAATTTCAGAGAGTGCAAATCTGGGTCTGTTGTGGGTTCCTCTGACATGCCTTGCAGTAGGAACTTTAGAATTCAGCCTGAACCCTTTCCCCACCTACTGCTTCTCCTCTCCAAATTGCACACTCCAAATCCTCAGCTCCTCGGTGGCAGACCCTCGAAACCACCAAGGTGACTGCGGGGCACTCAGGCCTGCCCTTGAAATGCTAGAAAGCAAGCTGGACCATTCCTCTTCTTGCTGGCCAGCAGCCCAAAGAGGACAGTGCTTTAGCCTTTCTTCTCACACCCGCGGTTCAGAAGCGATTGACGTGGGTGGTCGCTGAGGGACGTGACGTCATCCCCAGCTCATGGTGACCCTTCGAACGAAATTCCTCCACAACCTCCTGCCCTTGACTAGGCTTGGGACGAGCGCTTTCAGAATCCGTCCCTCTTGCACTTCCTCTCTGGTTGTGCGCACGTGCGCCACGGCACCTGCGCTTTTGGTTTGCTGGCGTTGAGCTTCTGGAAGGGCCTCATGCCTGGTCTTAACCGACAGGAATTTTCTTCATACCACGTGATTCTGTTTCGGAGGTTGTTGTGCTAGCCTGGAAAGAAGTCGTGTGCATTTTAAAAAATCTCACAGGCAGGAGGAAAGGCTCGGAATTCCTCAACATGGTAAGGCGTGGTGGGCCATGAAATGCTGCCGGCACATCCATGCTCTTGTCAGGGGAGCTGGGGCCTCTCCGGCAGCGTCTCGCCTTGGGACCTCCTCCTCAGTGGGTCTCCTGTCTTCTCCTTCAATGGGTAGCTCGGCTGCTAATGCGGACTGGCTCACAAGACCCCATTTGGCCCGTGTTCCACCAGCTACACTGGTTACCGACTGAAGTCTGGGCCCAATTCAAAGCAAATTGTGGCACTAACCTATACAGTGTAAAGCCCTAAATGGTAGGCCTGTCATGAGCCGACTGGAGCCGGGGTCAGACTAGATGGCCCAGGAACCCCCTTCTGACTCGCTCTGTTTCTAAATGGCTTGAGGCCAGGTTATCTAAAGGAGCACCTGTCTCCATAGGTCCCTACCCAGTCCCTAAGATTTTCTATGGTGGTCCTTCTCCAAGACCACCCCCTAAAGAGGTGGGGGGGGGAGATGGTTGGGAAAAGAGCCCTCTCCGTGGTCATACCCCACCTGTGGAACAGGCTCCCCAAGGAGGTGCACCTGGCACAGTCCTCGCTTGCTTTCAGGTGCCAGGGGAAGGCCTTTTTATCTGCCAGACATTGCAATAGAATTGTTTTGTTTTATTGTTTTTATGTGAACTGCTTATGCTAGTATATTTATTTCCATGAGGTGTCAGTGTTTCATATTCAGTTTTAACTGATTTTATTCTTTGCACTGTTTTTACTCCTGCTTTATGTTTTTTATGCTGTAAACCACCCAAAGATCCCCATGGGCGATGGGGAGGTATAAAAATGTATTAAACAAACAAACAAGCAATCAAATTCTCCTTGCAGATCAGTGCCTGCTCTCCACTCTCGGTCTCATCATTGGGCTTGTCCTGGGCAAGACTGTAGCTGCTGCTTTTCTCTTCTACCTTTTCCTGAAGAATCACACGGGGCACATGGGATCTGGGGCACACAGCCATGCGCCCCCAGCACAAAGCATTCCTGGGCCTTTCTGACGTCTCCTCTGCTGCCATCTTGCCCTCCCCACAGATGGGTGGAAAGGGGCAGGATGTTCACTGAAAGAGCGGCCCAGACTCACCGTACGAAGTGAACACCGGGGGGATCCCGCTTGCTGGAGCAGCAGGAAAGAAGTTGGCCATGTCCAGCTGGAACGACTTCCAAAGGGACTCTAACAAGGCTGCCGAACGCTTCCGTCGGGGAGCCAGACGGACGGGGGAGTGCGGCCCCGCTGGTCCTCCTGGGCCTCTCACTGGCGGTGGATGCCGTTTGGTGGCGTCCTTCTGGACAGGTTGGCTGAGCTGGGCACAAGCAGAGGGCACGGCTTCGCGGTGGTCCCGCTCCTGCTTGGCCGGCCGTGTCCCGAAGGTGGTGCAGGGGGGTTGTGGCTCTGGGCAGTGGACATGCGCCGTGGTTTTGCAGGGCTCTGTGCTCTGCAACCTCTCCATGACGCCTCTGGGTGGGGTTCCTCAGAAGGTGTGGGCTGAGTTGTCATCGGTTCGCTGGCGACACTCCGCTCTACCTTTCTTTTCCGTCGGACGCAGGTGTGGCGGTGACCATCCTTAACCGCGGCCTGGCTGGGGCCAAGGGCTGGCTGAGGGCCGATAAATTGGGGCTTAATCCAGGCTAGACAGAGACACTGTTGGGGTGGAGGGGTCACCTTTTCAGATGGGCAACTTCATGCTTCTCCTGGCTGGGGTCACACTCCCCTTAAAGGACAGGGTTTGCAGCTTGGGGGTGCTCCTGGACCCCGAATTTTCCCCGGTATTCCAGGTGGATGTGGTGGCCAGGAGCACCTTCCATCAGCCAAAGCTGATATATCAGCTGCAGCTGCATCCGGACAGGCAGGAGCTAGCAAGAGATCCACGCACTGGTAACCCCTCTCCTGGACTGCTGCAATGCGCTTTACATGGAGCCTCCCTTGAAGACAGTCTGGAAACTTCGGTTGGTCCCAAACAGGGCAGCTTGACTGCCAATGAGGCCTGGCAGATTGGGTCATGAAAGCCAGGCCTCCCCCACCCTCCCTGGCTTCTGATTGAGGTCTGGGTCCAATTCCAGGTGCTAACCAGCGTGGGGCCAGGGTGCTTCAAGGAGCACCTCTTCCTGTATCAGCCTGGCTGGCACCTTAGATCCTCATCTGAGGCTTTTCTGGGGGAGCCCCCTCCTCAGGAAATAAGGAGGGGGTGACACAAAGAAGGGCCTTCTCAGGGGTGGCACCCCAAGTTTGGAACAGGCTCCCCAAAGAGGTTCACCTGGCACTCTCTTTATACTGTTTTGGCACCACACAAAGACAGCATTTTTATTCTTAACTTGCTCTTACTGGCATTTTAACAATGGGGTATGCCTCTTATGAAATTACTAGGCCTGATAAGTTTTTTATCATCTTATCATTTTGTAATTTTACTGTTTAGTTTCATTTCTGATTTGTGTTTTCATATTGTACTGCATGGTTTTATTCTTGTAACCTGCCCAAGGAGCCATGTGCCTTATGGGCAGGTGAGAAATAAAATAAACAAACAGCACGGGGAAATTATTTGAATACAGGTGATGAACGAATAAAATTAGTGGAACAACTACGGACTGTTTTGCTGCTGAATGTTTCTGAAGAGGAATGAACCCCGATGTGGCCCAGAGCTCCTCGAAGGCTCGGATCCACGGTTCCTCCTGATGCAACTCATTTTCCCAGACTTCTCCACCGGCCAGTGGTCCATCACCAAGGGTCCAGGGCAGGGAGCCCCCCTCAGTGGCTTTTCAGGGGATACAGGAGAGGACAATATGGCCAGGGGGTTGGAGACACCCCTCGGCAGGGGGAGGCCGCGAGGTGTGTTGGCTGGCAACTTCCATCATCCTGAGACAGCACGGCAAGCCTCAGGAGATGGGACTCATCCCGGGTCAGGCGACGGTTTATCCAGTCCCACGGTCTGTTCCCACATGGCCAATCAAATGCTCTCAAGAAGGGCACAAGCTGGACCCCGGTGCCACAGCACCCTCCCACCCATGCTCCCCAGCAGCTAGTGTGCCCAGGCGTGCCACTGATCCTGGAGGCGGCCTGGGGCCGTCAGGACGAGCAGCCATGGTGCGTCTGCCATGAACTGTCCAGTCGCCATTAAAAGCAGCCCAAATGGGCGACCGCCACTGCCTCCCATGGAGGGGGAGTCCACCATGTCCTTATGCATGGAGCGACGAAGCGCTTCTGGTCTGTCCCAGATCGCCTCCCACTCCATCACTGAAGGCCCGCAGGCTGCGACACGATTTATCTGTCTATTTATTTAAAACTTTATATACTGTCCACTACTGAGGTCCTGGGACGGTCTTACAATAAAACAGTGAAAACATAGAAGCAGAGCGAGTCGGAAGGGGCCTCCTGGGCCATCTAGTCTGACCTCCGGCACCAGCCGGCTCCACTCACGACATGCCCACCATGTGCATGTCCGGCCTATCCTTGAGCACCCGCACCGATGGGGCCTCAACCTCCTCCCGTGGAGCACAGCATCCAAGTCGATTTTCTATACAAACCCCACATTAAGATCAGACACAAACCTTAAAATAATGGGAAAACAAAAAGGTTTTAGCCTGGTGCTGAAAGGAATAAAATAAAATAAGAGGATGAGAAAGAAAGAGATGCAGCTCCTTGCCCGCTTTTTCCATACCATGAATCATTTTGTATGTCTCTGTTGTGTCTCCCCTTCTTCCTTTGAAGGGCACCAGGTTGGGGAAGGCTGGTACAAAACAATAGATCAGCAGCAAGAGGCATGTTTACATGCTTTGACATGCGGCAGCGTCGTTTCGCATCAGCTGTGATTCTATTGGAAAAGTTCCCTTCTGCGTTAGAGAGAATCAGAGCGATGCCTTCCACCTGCGGCTCTGACCGTGAGCACTAATAAATTACTCTATAAACTATTTTAGCTATTTTAACGCTATAAAAATATTTCATAGCTTAAGAGCACATTCCTGTTGCCCTTGCAGCAGATGCTGGTCGGCCCCCAGACTGCCTCCAATTCAAAGTGGGGAGCTGATTCCATGAACGGGTGCCACAACCAAAAAGGCCCTTCATCCGGTTGCCCCCTCCTTAGCTTTCCTCTGAGGGGGCTCCCTGAGAAGGACCTCAAAAATCCTTAAGATCCTTCAGGCGGGTACCTTCAGATATCCTGAATGTTCTCGGCACTCTTAATGCCCCTTTCCCCTTTCCTTGAGCTGAGGACGCCACTGGGACGCGGGGAAGCGCCAAAGCTGGCAGAAAAGCACGTTCTGAACTGCCAAGCAGGTCGCTCCATGAGACAGAACTCCTGGGGTGTGCTCTGCAGGGCGAGAAGTTCGCCCCACTCTCCTCCCACTCCGCAAAGCCCTTAGAAAACAGGGACTCCCCGTTTTGCAAATTGTGCAAGAGGGGAGGGGAGCAGAGTCTGCACTTGTTCCTGGAGTGATTTCGTTTCATGGGTGGAACGAGACAGAGAGACTCTCTGACAAAGGAATGCAAGTGAGAAGATGTTCCGACACGCATTCTTGGGGGTGTCTCTCTTCTGCAGGAGACCCGGGAAAGCATTTCTGCTTTATATCTTACTGTCACACTCTTGAGAAGATGATCTCCGTGAGCAAAATCTTGACTCCATGCAAGCAAGAGCTTCTTAGTCTGGGTCGAAGCTAGCGTTTGCCCTTACATCAAGAGAAAATGGAAAATTCTGTGTGTTCTGAGTGTGAACTGTAGGGATTTTGTGAAATTGGTTCCATCTATGTTTCATGGATTGCCAAGGTCGTTTTTTCCATCATCTGCTCATTGACAGAAACAGATTTTTTAAAACAAAACCTCTTTGTACTCATGCGAATGCGAATTAGGATAATTCCCACCCCACAAGTGAAAAACAAGTTTGCAAGTCAGCAGAATGTGTGTAATCCAGACAAAGCAAGTCTGCTGTCAGGTCAGATTTGCAGAAATCCAAGGTCAGCTGGACCCACTGCGGATTTTCCAGCATCCTCAGTATCAATCCACGCTGCACCAGCACAGGGGGTGGGGGTCCGTGGGGGCAGGCTGCTTCCTTGCCCCCCTGCTAGCGAAGATGCACAGGGAAGCCAAATGCACGGGAGACAGCAGGAGAAACCCACGAAGCTGCCGCATTTGCTGGAAAAATGCCCATGTGATGCTGCAGCCCCTCCAGGACTTCTATTTTTGTCCCACTGGAAGCAGAAGCAGAATTCATTGTGCCAAATCATTTCTGGGGGTGAGAGAGAAAGAAAACGTCCAAATCATGGAGTCCACTTTTTCTTGACAGAGAATTTGCTTCTCTTGGTGTAGAACTTGAGTGGGGCGCTTGCCTTCCTTGAAAGCGCGGAACACGCAGAAGCCCATTCCATCTCCTGGGGGTCCTAACCATCTGGAAGTACTTCCTGGCAGCCGCCCTAAATCTTGGCTCCCTGAGCTTTGCTCCATTGGAACACATCCTGCCCTCCACTGCAGGGGAAAGAAGGTCACGACCCAGCTCTGCATCACACCCCCTCACGGACCTGTAGGTCGCAAACAGCTCCCCCCTGACTCTCCTCAAGGCTGAAAAGACCCAGTTCCCCCAGTCTCTCCTCGAGGGCTTCCCTTGCAAACCAGCCACTATTCCAGTGGCCCTCTGCTGCACCGATTCCAACCTGGCTACATCCCTCTTGTAATGTGTCCAGAATTGACACAATACCCCAGTTGTGGGCGCACCAGAGTCGTGTGGAGTGGTAGTAATCCCTCTCTCGCTCTAGAAGCCACGCTTCTGGCTATGCATCCAAGGGTGGCGTTCGCCCTCTTGGCCACCGCATCACACTGCTGGCTCACGTTCAGCCTGCAGTGGACCAGCACCCCGAGAAAGTGAATCTGCCACCCAACGTGGGACTCGAACCCACAACCCTGAGATTAAGAGTTTCAAGCTCTGGCAACTGACCTGTTAATGCTTTCTTCTTGTCCGCTGTCCATTGTCCAGTTCTGCTGGAAATGATAATCGGGGAAGATAATCCGTGTCTCCATCTCTGGCTGCCAGAAGACAAATGAGCCTTTGGTTTTGATTCTCACATGTATTGCTTGTGAGTCACCCAACAATGTCCAGCATGTCTTCATAGAGAAGTAAAACTGAAGAGTCACCAACATGACTGCATGAAGTGGGGAGTTCCATGTTTTGGGGCTGGCTACTTCTGCTGGCATAAATGTGGCAGGAAGCTTCGATGCTTTCATTTTATCCTGCAGCAGGAAAGAAAAAGCACAAACCCAGAAGGTCTGAGCTCTCTGACACCCTGATGGCCACATCCTGGACTATCCTGGGGCTTCCTCAGCTCCTCGTGCTTCTCCTGAAAGCCTCTGGTGAGTGCTGTGTGTCGAGATTCACCTGGCTGGGTGGCTCAGGCCCGATTTGCACCGTGATGGATGCTAGTGCAAGCGGCAGGGAGAAGAGGTGAGGTGCTGCCGGTCTGAAGTCAGGGCTTGGTGCAGCGTTGACTTGATGCTGAGGCTCACGGAGGGGACACTGAGGCACCAGCTAAGGGGTACCACAAAGGACAGCAGATGCATTGGCGCCCTGCATCATTGATTTGCCAACCAACCCCAATGTCTTCTACTTATTTCAGGCTCTTCTGATGTATCCTCACTAATATGTCTATACTACCTCAAGCTCATGAACCTCCTCTTCCCCATTTTAACCTCAAACAACCTTGCGAGGTAGATTCAGCTCAGGTTCAGGGACTGGCCCAAAGTTTGCCAGAGAATTTCATGGCGGAGTGGGGATCTGATCCCAGCATCCCCGCCCAGTTTCAAGCCCACCCTCCAACCACTACACCACACTGTCTCTATGTCAAATCGCCTGTGCATCTTTGCTCTCCTGCTGCCGGGCTAGAAGGAGAAGAAGGGGTGAATCACAGTGGCAGATGCATGCCGTCAGGACGGGGCTGGGGAGACGCCAGCCAGCCACCCTTCCTGTTGCCCACGTCACAGGGAGAGTTGCTTCCTGAAGGGGCAGACTGCACGGGAACCAGCTCTGGGGGCAATCGCGTCAGTTCTGAAGCTGCAGCGGATGCACTGGGGCGAGGGGGAGCAGGACTTGGGCTTGGACAAGCCCCACGCTGCAAGACGTCTGGGGACCCACACTGTTCCCCAAGGTTTTCGGCTGCATCGAGAAGCCGCTGGTGCTGCTTTAATCTCATACTCGCCACCGCTCTGAAAAGGGACCTTTTTCCCTTGGAGATCCTCAACAAGGTCACATTTAGGGGGGAAACAGGCCGTGGATTGCGGCCAACCACTGAGGAACCTCTGTTCCTGCAGAAACCAATGAGGATGTCTTTATTTGCAGGTGCTGTGGGCCAGGAAGTGGTCCAGCCACAGGCCGTTATCGAGGTACAAGCAGGAGCGACGCTGATCCTTGGATGTTCCGTGATGGGTGCAACTTTACGGGGACCTGTGAAATGGTTCTTGGGAGAAGGTCCCGCTCGGAAGCTCATCTATGCAGAGATCGGATCGTTTGAGCGAGTCCTGAGGACCAACAAGGACTCCAACACGGATTTCTCCATCGCCATCCAAAATGTTACTCAGGCAGATGCCGGGACTTACTACTGTGTGAAACAGAGATTTCCATGGATAAAATTATTGGAACATGGGCCTGGGACCCAGGTGGTTGTGAAAGGTGAGTGGTGGAAACTAGTGAAGAAAACAGTCAAAAGGGGTAAGGTCTGAATTGCTCCACCTGCTTTTAGATGTGAATAAGGCACAGGATAGAGGATTTGAAATCGTCAAGTCATGGGAAGGCGTTTAAACATTCTGCTGTGGCACATGGAGTGTCAAGTGGTTTGGGTCTGTGGTTACAACGTCTAGGAAGACTACGGGGGAAGCACTGAAGGTTGGCAAAATTGCAACAGAAATATTTGCAGCGGTTTCGTTAATTTATTAGATTTATTTGAAGGCCACCTATTAGCATGACGCTCTGTTAGCTTTCCACTAAGAAATTTTGATTCGTGGTATGCAAAGTCTGTCAAAAGCAGTCTTAGGAGAGCTGCATATTTCACAGACCTTTACAACTAATCGCTAGTCCCTGGACTTCTGACTTCTAAAGAAGAATCCAACAGGCAGACAGCATAAATAAATATTAAGATAAATAGCAATATCTTTGGAGGACTGGACAGTAAAAAATCATTTAAACATCAGGCAATATGAAGACATTAAGGAGATAAATGTTTCCAGCAAGAAGATAATGTGAAGGAAAAGGCTCTATCATCTTGAAAAGTTTCATCTCCTTAATTTTGGGGCTTGTCGGGCTTCTGGGCAAAGCACAAGGGAACCTGGGGCGACCTTCATATTAGTTTTATTAGGTGCCCAAGCCCACTCTGCTAACTTGGCCCAAACTATTCTTCAGCCATCCTTTTTTGCTCAGGAAATTTCCCGTGGTGAAGTTCAGAGGGCAACGGCTCGGTTTAGGTCATTTGAATGTGTTCCTTACCTCTCCCAGTGTTCATATCTTTCAGCACCAGCGGGTTTCCCAGCAGAAGAATGGTTCCAAAGTGGGGATGAACCTGGAGGCGACCTACTCCCGCAACCCTTCATTTTCGTTCATCCTAACAGAGGCAGAGGTGAGACGGTTTTGCTCACACCCTGCATTTTGGCACGCCTGAGCGGTGCACGGGCAAAGCCCCTCCTCTGGGTCTCTTCAGCCTTCCCTCGTTTTGCCTCCCAGGTCCTCTTTGAGGGTAGCTTCAATTTCGCCAAAAAGGGAGACAAAGCATAACTAGGAAACCAGTTTATTAGGGCTGTCCCAGGACATACACCTGCCTGAGAAACAGAACAGGACAGTGCCTCTGCTTTGTCATGCACAGAAATGGACCGGACCGGGCAGTGGCCTTCGGCGTTGCTGACCGATGTTGGCGGTGGGCCAGAGGGCCGAGACGTGGCCCTGGCTGCTCCCCCAGAACTGATTTCAGAGGTGCCTTAAGCACGGGGAAGGGGTCTGAAATGGCCAAGTGGTATGTGGGGGCCTTTAAACATTCTGCGGTGGCACATGGGTTGGGGTGGCAAGCAGAGGAAGGCGATGAGGGTTTGGGGAAGCACTGAAGGTAGGCAAAATTGCAACCGATATTTGCGAATGTTTCCCACTAAGAAATTCCGATATGATGGCATGCAATGTTATCTTGGGGGGTGGGGGGAGCTGCATATTTCTCAATACTTTACAATTAATTAAATGCTTTACAATTAGTTACCAGCCAGCCACTGTGATCCCTGAGCAACAATAAGCAGGTGAAGGGATTTTTTTTTTAAAGAAGCAAATAAGTCTTGGGAAAAGCTTCATCTCCTGAATTCCCTTATTTTGTAAGCTGACAAAGGTGTAAGACAAACTCTTACGTTGGAAAAGGAGACATATACAGCCACAGCAGTGCTTGCATTCTGTGACATTCTGGTTTGCCTATTCTGTGCAAACTCCTTTTCCAATATGGTGGCCCAGCTACTAAATTAAATTAAATCCCAAGATTGCAGCACCTAATGGGGGAAGGGAAAATGCAAGCAAGGTTAAATTTGGCCGTGCTACTGACAATGAGATGCTGCGGACCCGGAGCTGAGACTTTAGGATTCAGAACCTTCATGGGACCTGCCTTGAAATGCAGAAAGCAGTGTTTGGATTTTGCATTTCCCTGACTTGGCAAAAGACTATTTTCGCCATAGCCTCCTTCAGCTCACTGCAGAGCGCCAGAGGTTTCTTGGCTAGCCAAAGGGCGACTGATTTCTTGGAGGAGGTGTAACAGCAGATGGGTGTGCTGATTTTCAGGGCAGGAGCTCACGGTGGTCCAGCCACAGGACGTTGTCGAGGTACGAGCAGGAGCGACGCTGATCCTCGGATGTTCCGTGACGGGTACAACTTTACCGGGACCTGTGAAATGGTTCTTGGGAGAAGGTCCCGCTCGGAAGCTCGTTTATGCAGAGATCGGATCGTTTGAGCGAGTCCTGAGGACCGACAAGGCGTCCAACACAAATTTCTCCATCGCCATCCAAAATGTCACTTTGGAGGATGCCGGCACTTACTATTGTGTGAAGCAGAAGAAAGATCTCGGGGGTGACAAAGATGTGAAAACTGGGCCTGGAACTCGGGTGGCTGTGAACCGTAAGTGGTGGAAACTTTATTTATATTTATAAAAGAAGGCATAGCAATTCATTTCATTTGTGTTTGGCCCAGACACATCCTGTATTCATGCTGGGACTAAGCCCACCTGCAGATTTTGGGGGGACTCTGGGCAGAGTGGTTGTGAACGGCGAGGGAGAGAAGCGGGTGGACATCTCATTTCTTGGCTGGTGTTGGTTGGCTGCATTGGCTGAAGCATCCCTTGGATCAGAGGTGTACCTGCAGCTGACTCCCAATTTTGGGAGGCCCTGGGTAGGTGGTGACTCATGGGAGATGCCCCGGATGCCTACCATGTCTAAGCACGTCCCATCACTTGGCTCTCCCATGACTCCTCCGCCCCGGCAGTCCATCTCCCCTTCCCTTGGATGCTTTCAGACATTTCCTTGACTCTTTTCCACATGATTCCACAGGGGAAAACGCAGCACAGGCCTCTGCTGGACTGTGGAGTACGACACTTGTGAGCCAACTGCTCCTTTGCTGGCTGGAAAAATCCATGTTTCTTCCTTGTAGCAAGTGCTTCCTGCTCAGAGACTGAGGGACCCTGGCACTACCACCCGGTCCTCCAAAAGCTGATGCTTTTCCACTGCCACCAATTCTGTTAGAGTATTTTGGATTCTCCTAGTGGCTGGTATTTGAGGCTGTGGCATGAAATAAACACCACCACTGAAGAGGAAGTGAAGTATGAAACCAGCTGATTTATTAAAACCATCTTTTACACAACAGGGAATACGAGCACCTGCTTGGGCGTCTTCAGAAGATGGTTCTGATAATTCTGAGGTGCTCGAGAGAAGCAGCTGCACTTGGACGATCAAGGGGAAAAGAACGCCCGCGGGCGCACTCTGCAATTTGCCCGATTCCCCTGGGGATGCACAGCTTTCCGTGTCATCTGAACCCAGCGGGGTGCTGGCTTGGAAACCTCCCCGAGACCAACGCTTGCTGTAAATTTGGGGCGCTTTTGAACTCAGGACCAGCTGGGCACCTCGGTGGGCTCAGACGTCACAGGAAGGCTCATGAGGCAAATTGTGTGGTGTGCGACCAGGACATGGGGGCAGAGGGAAGATGCCCCCGTGGCATCCTTTCCCCCCGTGATTATGCAGACCCGAGCACCATTGCTGCTCATGTCCTTTGCCTCCAGACAGATTTCCCGAAGCTCAGCCAAATGCACTCACAACCAAGTCTGACTCCTGGGTACACACTTCCTCTTGCTGCCATTTCTGGTTACTTGGACCGTTTCTCTGGGTTTTCATGGTCTTCTTGTAAAGCTGCAAGACCTTTAGGCAGCATCCTGGAATGACCCATCCTGGAATAGCTCAGTTCTGACCTGCACCAGCCCTGTATGGGTATCCCGGAGAGAAAGAACAGCTCGAAATCCAAGCTAATCCCTTTCTCCTCAGCTTCCTCCTTTTTTGGATGGAGGAGGAAGATTGGGTATAATTCAGAAACAGATGGACGAAAAACGCATGCATTTTGGCAATTCTGCCTTGCCGTAGCACCAACCTGCATTCATATAAAGCAACCTAGAGAAAGGCAGAGAAGGAACCTTCCCAAGGAAAGACAAAAACCCACGAGTGAAGGCACCCACCTGAATCCCACAAGGGATCCAGAAGCAGAAACCCCCTAAAGTGGTGGACTGTTTCTTCTTATGGGCCACCCCAGATCGCTCCTGGCCTTCATTACGTGCTTTCTCCCCATCTAGGAGCTGATTCACTGCCCCCTTTCTCTATCCCAACCCTTTGGAGCTCAGCTGCCTTCTCCTGGTTGGTGTGGGCTCCTCCATCCCTTCACCCAGGCAGCTCTGCCTCCCCTCCTGCATCTCTCCTCCATCCCAGTCGGTCAGTGTCCTCCCTCCTCTCCATGCACTCCTTTCATGGGTCCACTCTGCTCTTCTCCTTCTCTCAGGGGTGACCCTCCTCATCCCATCCCTCCCACGGCATCTCCCTGAAGGGCAGCCACTCAATGACATCCCACGAGCTGGTCCAAAGACTAGGCACCCTGTCACCAAAACAACAGGGCATGCATTTATCATGTTCCTAAGGGGAACCCAACATTGACTGAATCGTTGTCTTTTCCTCACAGGTCCTGAGGGATTTCCCAGTCTTGCTTTCTGGATGGGACTTTTCCTGAGTAAGATTGTAGTGACTTCCTTCCTCATTTGCCTTCTCCAGAAGAAAAAACCATAGAAAGTCACTCCTGGGGGGACTTCCAGTTGACGTCGCAGCGAGACGGCTGTGGAGAACGGGGTTCCGTGCTCCACGTCGAAATCCGTTCTACAGGGGGCCCGGGGGGGCCCATCCAAGCCCTGTCGGGGCAGGGATTAGAAGCCCGAGCATACTTCTGCCTGGCAGGGGGTGGCAGTTCCTCACCCGACGGGGGAAATTCAGGGGATTTCTCAGTGAACGGACAGAGAGGGGTGCACCCCCTCACAAGCTGTCGGGGCTCCGGATGAACAGTGAAGAAAACAAAGAGAAGCTTAAGAGTGGACATCCGACCTGCTGGGTGAGCAATTAAACCTTTTAAAATACTGCCCATGGAAGAACCTGTGAGATAACCATCACTCTGAATAACAGCAGGAGGCCCTTTGCTGAGGGAGGGAACCTCTCCCTGTGGAGCTCAAGCCGCGACAAATCTAGGGGAGATGAAGTGAAACTGGGGAAGTCTGGGACTTGGAAGAGAAGAGATTTTCTCTACGTTTAATCTCCACAAGGGCGAAGAATTAAATTTGAACTTATTTTATATTAATTGGTAGAAGAAGCTCTCTTTTCTTATTTCCATTTTGGAAACATGGTGATCAGACTCCTCCAGTTTCTGTATGGTTGAACAAATAACTTTTTGGCTGCCACCCTGTGGTTATTTTATTTTTTAACAGATACATTGCTTGCCAAAAAAAAAAAAAAAAAAAAAAAAAAAATCCCTTATTTTCCTCTCTCTGAGATTTTTTGTTGCTATTTAGTGGCTATCTAGTACCACAACAGGTTATTTAAAAATTGTTTTAATTAAACCTTTTACTTTCATCATGGATAAAGTTTACCTATCATCTTTGGCATCCACATCTGCTTCTCAAAGCTTACAAACAACACTCTTGGCAATAGAAGCATCTTTAACATCTATCCAAGCATCTCAAGAGTCTATGCAAAACGCTATACAAGAATTTGCTTTGGAACAAAAGGATGAATTGGACAAATTGGATAGCTATTTTTATAGTTAGATAGACAGACAGACAGACAGAAGTAAATGACTTTTAGATAGTTCTTATTGCTAAGTAGAAATGGTTTTAAACTTGTCAATTAGACGTTGGAAATGTAAACACAAATTTAAATCTGAAGGCTTTTCTCTTCTTTTTGCTTAGATATTATTCTTAATGCTATTGATAAATAGACCATATATTTGATATTATATGTAATTACTACGGCAAGGATTTTATTTGCTCACTACGGGAGGAATGATGAGCCAGGCACCAAAGAGTGGAGCTCAAAAGGGATCTTGGACTGCATGGAAAGGGACAGATCGATCTTGTCTCTGAAGGAGGAGGAGGAGGTGTATCTCTACCAAACCTGGAATTTGTTCTGTTATCAGCTAGAGAAATGGGATTGTGCGTAGATTTGAATATGACTATTGACTGTTAAAATGAGGAAGATGCTAACCCAGTATATCCGCTGTCTTAAATAATCGTTGTTATTAAAGTTAGATTGTAGTGAAAACAATAAAATGTATTAAAAAGAAAGAAAGAAAGAAAGTCACCCCGGCTTTTCTTTCGGGAGTCCGGGGAAGGAGGCTGGCAAAGAGGCCCGCATGGGATTTCACCGTGTTGCCGAAGGATCCGTAAAGGGGTTGTGGAAGCACCTGCTGAGGAGCCGATGCTTCCTAGGCTGGTACACCTGGTTCAAGGTCGACATTAAACATGCTTCTGTGCCTCTTGAGTGAAAACCTGGCCTAAAATTCTGCTGAAATACAGCACTGAAGTTTTGCTCTTGCGCTTTCCCCGAAGCTGGGTTTCTTCTGAACTCAGCTATTTGCACCTAAAAGGAAGAAATTCGTTGTGCAGTTTCCAGATTAAGGAGACTTCAAAGTGCATTGGCTGCTGGATTGGACCAAAGAATTTCACAAGATCAGTGTGGGCTTTACAGATTACAGCAAAGCCTTTGACTGTGTGGATCGTGAGATGCTCTGGATGGTGCGGGAGAAATGGACCCGTCTCAGCACTTGATTGTCCTGATGCGTCACCTGTATCATGGACAAGAAGCTACAGCTAGGACAGAATACGGAGAGACAGAATGGTTTCCCATAGGCAAAGGCATCATACAAGGGTACATTTTATCTCCCCACCTGTTTGGTCAGCACGCAGGACATATCATAAGGAAACCTGGGTCAAATCAGAGGAAGGAGGAGTGAAAACTGGCAGAAGAGACACCACTGAAGCTATGCAGATCATCCCATATTACTGGCAAAAAGCACCAGTGAATTGAAATGACTCCTGAAGAAAGTGGAAGAAGAAAGTGGAAAAGCAGGACTGCAATTGGACATTAACAAAAATCATGACTATTTATACATTTATGCTAGTTTAAGGTCAACCATGAAGTGAAATTGTGAGAGCTTTTGCATACCTTGGCTCAGTCATCTGTTCAAAAGGACACAGAAGCCAAGATATTCAAAAAAGACCAAGACTTGGAAAGTTCCAGTGAAGGAACTGGGAAAGATTGTCAAGTGTAAGAACGTCTTGCTGGAGACCAAGGCCAAATCATCCCCTCTGAAGTATTCCTGATCACCATTTCTCCATGCAAATCCGAACAGTGAAGAAAGCTAGCAGGAAGAAATTGACAAGTTTGAAACATGTTGCTGGATGGGAGCTTTGGAAATACCCTGGACCAACAATAAGAAGAACAGCTGGGTCCTAGATCAAAGCAAGCTTTCCCTGGAAGCAAAAATGAAGAAAGCGATGCTGTCCAGCGTAAGCAATCGTTTTCCATCGGGGCAGCGCTCCCCTCAGCTGATGCAACAGCCTTTTGTTTTTTGTTTAAAACTGCCCGACTATGAATCACATGGAGAAAACAAAACAGTTCAGGAAATGCAGATCTGTCACTGTTCGCTCGCACTGGTAATATTTCATTTGAGGTATTAGTGCTTTGTTGTGCACCGAAGGGACCGTGGTACAAATGACACCCAGTCATTCCTCAGATTAGTGTCCAGGAATCCTGCTGGGCACATTTTGTAATATGACAAAGTCGTCGCCACGCTCCCGAACACCGCAATGTACGATGGACGGGGAAGCTTGCAAAGGCGACGATGCCTCTTCCGCTCATAACAGATACAGAGTGACTCGCAACACGGTGCCCTGCGGGGGTGGAAGGACCCCAGAGTCCCACCTGTCCAAATGCTTTGCTACATGGCCAAGTTTGCAGGCAATCCCGAACTATTCAGGGTGGTTAAAACCAGCAGGGATCGCGAAGCATTCCCAAGGGAGCCTTCCTTTTTTCTTTTTTTTTAATAAGTTTTATTCTTAATATACCTAACAAAAAGAAACTAAAAAGCATCAGTCATCGAAAACATCAGACCTACTGGGTCAGCTCCCCACATTTTTTCTTTTTATGTTAAACTATACACATATTTAAGGCTATGCATAGTCCCGTTTCTCTAGTCAATGATAAAAAGGAGTCCCAGGTTTGATAGAAGTCTGTATCTTCTTTCTCCCTCAGAGACAGAGTCAATCTGTCCATTTCTGTCCAGTCCAAGATATTTTTGAAAATCAGTTCATCGGGAGGTGGCTCTTCACTCTTCCAGTGTTGGGCAAATGCAATCCTCGCCGCTGTAGTTACATGTAGAGTCAAATACATTGCTTGTTTGGTAAGATCATCAGGTATAATGCCTAATAAGAAAACTTCAGGTTTAAATGTTAGAGATTTTTGTAACATTTCCTCAAGCCATTTGTGTATTTTAATCCACTTTTTTGCCTTATTACTTTTTTGCCTTATCACAGGTCCACCACATATGATAAAAAGTACCTGATTAATGTTTACATTTCCAACATCCATTTGACATATTTGGAAACATCTTAGCTCACCTATTTGGTGACAAATACCATCTCCCCAAGGGATCCTTCCAAGTCATGCAAGAGGGCATCAAAATAGCAAAGGCAGCTGAGTGTAAGGCGGTGTCCCGTGATGCCATGTTGGGGCAAAAAGCCTTCAAGCGCAGGCTGATGGGACCTGAGCGAGCCGTGACTGACCAGGAAAGGGATCTTGGGGTGGCGTTGGAGAGATTGATGAAAATGTTGGCCCAGTGCGCAGCTGTGGTGGAAAAGCCAAAATCCATGTTGTGTCGAAGTAGGAAAATGCCAAGCTCATACTCCCCTCATACGAATCTTTCGTGCAATCGGCTCTGGTCACTGGAGCTGAAAAAGGGCACCGAGTTGGGGAAAGTGCAGAGAAGGGGAAATAAAACAAGCCAGGGTGGCATCCCTCCTACCAGGAATAGTTACAACAGCTGAGGTTGTTTAACTTACCAAAAAAAGTGAGCCATAATAGAGGAATTTAAAGTTCAGAGGTGTAGAGAGCGGGGCACATTGCTCTCTTCCAGAATACTAGAACTCACGGTTGCCCCTTGCAGCCGACTGGCGGGCAGTTCAGAAGAGGTAAAAAAACTTTTTCATGCAGCATGGAGGGAACGGCATTCGTTGCCACGGGAAGGCCACCAATTCGGATGCCTCTGAAAGGGGCTGGAAATATTCCTGGAGGGAGGAAGGCTCCCCGTGGCTGGCGGGCGACATGCCACCTGCGTTAGCCAAGGCAGACCCGCACACGCCGGTTGTTGAGCAGCTTGGGCAGGTGGAGGTTTGGCGCCCACCCTCCTTGGGGAATCCTGTGGCAGCTGGTTTGCCAGTGAACGGTGTGCTGGACCAGGGCTGCTCTTATGAAACATTCTGGACTAAAACCCGATGGGATTTTTAAGATATAGGATTCGGCTGCTAAGTTACTGGTAGGGCTGAGATGAACCCTCTTGGAATCCGTCCCTCCGAGTATTCGTGGACTTCCATTTTTGCTTGGTGTGGTCTTCCAAATCCGCACGAAGAGGAAGCCCATTAATCCCCCGCCCCCCACATGCAACTGGCCACCTTCTTCCGTGGCAGCAGCAGCCTGATTTCCCCTTTTATTATGCTTACGTTTTTGCTGGTCACCACTATGGACACCCATTACTGGACAGGGCCACATGGCCTACAAAGCACCTCACCTTTGAGGATCCTGCGATCACCCATCCCAGGTGCACAGGTAGGGGTGCTCCAACCCTTCCCTCTTGTGTGACGAAATAGAAATAGAGAAAACAATACAATGTAGCCTAGCATACACCTGCCCGTCCCCTTCTCAACCTCCATGTGGTTTTCTCACGGTTATGCAGGATTGCCAGCACAAGGTTATCATTAAAGGTGAAGGTGAAGGTTTCCCCTTGACGTGAAGTCCAGCCATGTCTGACTCTCGGGGCGGTGCTCATCTCTGTTTCCTGGCCGAGGGAGCCAGCGCTTGTCTGCAGACAGTCTCTGTGGTCATGTGGCCGGCATGGCTAAACACCGAGGTGCACGGAACGCTGTTACCTGCCCACCGCAGTGGCACCTTTTCATCTGCATGCATTTGCATGCTTTCGAACTGCAAGGTTGGCAGGAGCTGGGACGAAGCAGGGGGAACTCACCCCGTTGTGCAGATTCGAACCGGCGACCTTTCGATCTACCAGCCCAGCATCAGTTTAAACCACTGCGCCACCTGCATCCCAAGGTTATCATTACATGGGTACAAGTTTTCCTCCATATGGTTAGGGCTGCACCTTGCTAGGCCAAGGGTGCCCGGAAGCAGGCCCACCTCACGCAGAAATTCTGCTGCTTTTGCCTTGTCCACCACCCAGAGAACTTTGGCTGTTGGGCTGCAGAAATAAACTAAAGGAAGCTAATATTTATTTTTATTTATTTATTAAAACATTTCTATGCCACCTCATTCGCCAAAGCCTCAGGGTGGCTCACAACATAAAGTTAAAATACAAAAAATAACAGTATAAAATAAGTCGCCCTGGCCAGATAAAATAAGCATAATATTAACAATTAAAATGCCGCTTAAATAAAAAGGTCTTAGCCTGGTGCCGAAAAACGAACTACGGTGCCAGGCGGACCTCTCTGGGGAGCGCATTCCATAGATTGGGCGCCACCGCAGAGAAAGCCCTCCTCCGGGTACCTACCCTCCTAACTTCTTTCACGGAGCGTTCCTGGAGAAGGGCCTCTCCCGCAGACCTCTCATTTGCTTATTTATCTGGACGGCTTACAAAAAAACAACATACCAACAAACACACTGCATCCTACCATTAGCGATAAAATCAAAGATAGAATCAATTAAATATTAAAATGTTGAGAAAAAGGGGTTTGCCTGATGCTGAAAAGAACAAAGCGAGGGTGCCAGGCGACCCTCCCTGGGGAGCATGTTCCACAGTTGGGGCGCCACAGCCGAAAAGGCCCTTCTTTTCTTGGCAAAGAGCAGCGGCCCAGAACGCACTGGGCAAATACCGAAGGCATCTTGGGTTACTTCCGTGCCTGCTCTGGACTGGCACAGACATCTGCATTTGGGAAAAGCTGGTTCCGCCTTCAGATGGATGCTCTGGTACAGCTATACCTCCTCTAATCAGCGTTCTTTAATTCAACACATAGTGGAAGATGAAGGTTAAGTTTTCTTTTTTTTTTTAAGAAATATTGACAGCTTTTTAAATATCAGCAATCTTAAATGTCTCAAATAGGTTACTTTTTTAAAAAAAAAGTCAGCTTCACTCAATGAATCATAGCAGAGTTGAAAGGGATCAAGAAGGTCATCGGGTCCACCCTCCTGTTCAAGGCAGGACTCCAGGTTAAAGCACCCGCAACTGATGGCTGCCCAGGTGGATCTTGAATGCCTTCGTGGTGGGAGAGCCCATGGGCTCCATTGCCGTACTACTCCGACAATCAGGAAGTTCTCCCTGATGTTCAGCCAGAACCTGGCTTCCTGTGAACTGAGCCCGCTATTCCACGTCCTGCACTCTGGGATGGCGGAGAAGAGATCCCGTCCTCTCTCTCCAGGCGCTTGCAGCCTGCCATCGCACCTCCCCTCAGTCCTCCCTTCCCAAGGCTGAACTGGCTCAGTTCTCTCAGTCCCTCCTCAAGGGGCTTTGCTTCCCGTCCCCGGATCATCTGTATTGCCTTCCTCTGAGCCCTTTCCAGCTTGTCCGCATCCTTTCAAACTGTGGTGCCCAGAACTGGACGCAGGACTCCAAGCGAGGCTTAACCAACGCTGAGTAAAGGGGAACTAGCACCTCACGGTGTTCGAAAGTGATAGTTCTGCTAATGCAACCTAAAATAGCCATTTCTTCTCACGGGGCCTTCCAGGCTCCCTCCTCTGAACCCTTTCCAACTTGCACGCATCTTTCCGAGACCTACCAGGACAATAATATACAAGTCCAAATCGGGATGTTCAATCCAGTAAAAGCTGCTCAGTGTGTTCCTCTTTTGTCTCCCCGTTTCACCAAGCCAGTTCCTTGTCTGTGTTACATATTTAGGAGTGAGTCGTTGAAACACTTCTGCTTTTGTGGAGTGCTTGACATACTGTGGCTTTCCCACAAAAAGAGGTGGTCTTCCAAACCTGTTAAAGAGAGAAAAAAAATGTCTCCTGTATATTTCTTGCCAGTTTCAAAAGAATGACCCATTCAGAACCAAATATTCCCACCGAATTGGAAATTTCACGATCTGAAAGGCATGTTCTCAAGCAAGGCTTGAAACTGATCAACTAGCATGCACAGAGACCAACGTGTGACCAACGAGTCCTCAATTTACGTGGCCCAGAAGTGCGATCCTTGTCTGTTAACGGAGAGGTGAAGATGTGCTGTATTCATCGAGACCTATTCCTTGGTAAGCAAAGTGAGAAAAGCAGTGGTGTCGGTCAACTTTTGCCAAACCTCTCCTCCCATTTCTTGGCTTCACGGAACACTTCCCGACACTTCAGTTCTAAGAGAGCGTCTGGCATACCTGCCTGCTGGCAAACCCTCCAGCGACTGCAGTCAGAAACAGTGGCGATGGTGGTGGTGCTGCTGCTTACATTTCTATATCACACATAAGACGAAGCTCTCTGGGCAGTTCACATCAAGTCCCCCATCAAGATTTCAACCAAGCCTGACCCTGCTTAGCTTCCACGATCAAGCAGGATCAGCGCGTCAGGCTATACAGTTCCAAGCAACTGGAAGGGCAAATCTTTGCTGGCACAAGTCACCGGAGCTTGCAGAAGGGAGTCGCACTGACCCAGGCTGTCCCAGAAACAAGTTTCTGCTTTTTTTTTTTTGGGCAGGGGTATACTTCAAACATTAGCAGCTTAGAGGTAAAAAAGACAGTAGCTTGAAATGACATTAAACATTTCACAGCCCCTTTTTACAATGGAAGCATCACAAGATCAGTCGATTGCTGAAAGAATTTAAGATCAAACATTTCAAGCTTAAAGGTCTGGGAAAGGGCGTTTAGCTGGGATTGAGCAGAGCAGAGCTCCATGCAAGGCTGCCGTGGGGAGGGGTCCCCAATGGGGGGGGGGGGCTGCTGGAAAGGCCTTCCCCCTGGCTGCCACCCACTTCACCTTGCTCAACAGGAGAATCGCAGAGGTGCCTCTGAAGACACTCCTGGGGCCAGAGATGCGGCCGAAGCACACGGCAACTCTTCCAGGTGCCGTTTTCTGTCTTGCTTAGCTGCTCCTGTAACAGTGGGGCAGCCCCCTAACCATCTGCGCTCACCATCCATAGTTGCAGGGAGGAGTTTGCGGCGGCTGCGCTGGAACAGCAGGGCTCCCTTGGATCCCACCCAGCCCCATTTCCTGGGAACAGGCGTAGCACCGCCTTTGAGTCCAGGAGCCGGGACGAGGCAGGACCCGAAAGATCCACCACTTCCAGCACGGCCATGACGCTCCTGGATCTTCCTGAAAACAACAGATGCTCAGACACTCCGCGTTTGAACTGGAAGAGAAACAGCAGCCGAGATTCACACACGGGCTGTGCAGAGCCACACAAGTCAAACAACCCCAACTGAGTCCTCAGTGAGGAAGTCCGGAGGGGTGACTCCCAGCACCAGGGTGGGACGCAGTGGCGCTCACGGTGAGGGAAGAGGGCAAAGGATTGGGCCTCAGTGTCCTCAGGGGTCATTCCAGCTTATAACTCTTTTTTTTAGGTTTTCAAGGTTTTTTTACTTTCTACCAATTAAAACAAAGATTATTCCAAAGACATGAGACATACTGGGTTGTAATCTTATTCTCATTACAATTACTATATATTTCAGCCATTTATTTATTTATTTAATTTGTATGCTGTCCATTACTTGCGTCTCTGGACAGCTTACAACATACATCAGAATAAAATAGATAAATTGACTATTCCACGCTGGCTGTAATTAATAAAATACAAACAATAAAATCCAATTACATATTAAAATATTGACTAAATAAAAAAATGGAATTCCATTTCTCTAGCCAATGATAAAAAAGTCCCAGGTTTGATGTAGTACGTATCTTCTTTGTCCTTAAGAGACAGAGTCAGTCTGTCCATTTCTGCACAGTCCAGTATCCTCTTTAAAATCAGTTTTTCACTTGGTAGCTCTTCATTCCTCCAGTGTTGTGCAAATACAATCCTCGCCGCTGTGATTACATGCAAAGTCAAATATATGCTTTGTTTATCGAAGTCGTCAGGGAGAATGCCTAACAGATATACTTCTGGTTTAAATGTTTATTTATTTATTTATTTATTATTAAAACATTTCTATGCCGCCCCTTGCCGAAGCCTCGGGGCGGCTCACAGCATAACATAAAATACTATAAAATACAAAAATAACAATATAAAATTAACAATATAAAATAAATAACAATATAAAAGAAGTCGCCCTGGCCAGATAAATAAGCAAATATTGTTAACAATTAAAATGACGTTTAAATAAAAAGGTCTTCGTCTGGCGCCGAAAAACAAATAACGACAGGTTATTGCAGGTTATTACAGGTCTCTGCAGCATTTCCCCAGGCCCTCTATGTATTTTGACCCAGTACTTTTTTGCTTTATCACAAGTCCACCACATATGATAAAAGATACCAGGCTTTTGTTTACATTTCCAACACCTCTTTGACATATTTGAAAATATTTTTGTGTATCTATTCAGTGACAGATACCATCTGTAAAGCATTTTATAAAGATTTTCTTCATGAGGTTGACAGAGTTATCCTAATATTTCTTTCCCACAGCTTTTGCCATTTCTGCAACTCACCATTATATCCAAAGTTTTGTGCCCATGATATCAGTTTCCTTGACTTGTTCATCTTCCATTTTCATATCTAAAAGAAAGAGATACAATCTTTTAATCATTTTTTCATCTGATTTTAAAATTACTTGATCAAACACAGCTTGCTCCTTATAAAAACCATACATTTTATAATCTTTAGCATTCCTCGATAGTATTTGCACTTGATGCCACCAAGAAAGGTCAATATCCTGTTTTTGTAATTATTGATTTGATTAAAATCTTCCATCATTATCAAGAATATCATTATAAGTCACAATCTTGTTAAAGTTCAAAGTGTTTGGATATACAAAAGCTTCAGTATCTTATTATAGTTTTGCCTTTAGTTTTTCCCAGTCCGAAATCAATGAGTTTAATATGATTTTGAAAATACCCATGTTTTACATTTCTCATATCACATAAAAGCATGCCACCCCATTTGCAAATCATGACCTTCAAGATAGAGAGTTCTTTTATTTCTTAGTGTTATCCACTCTTTTAGCCACATTAAAACACATGCTTAATAATACAACAATCAATCAGGAAAACCAAAACCCACATTTCCCTTTAGCCTCCTGAAGCATTTTCAACTTAATTCTTGGTTTTTAATTTTGCCATATAAATCTCAAAACTTGTGTATTTAAAATCAAATTTTTTTTTCGATTTTTATAGGAATTGTTTGGAATAAGAACAAAATCTTAATATGTTCATTTTGACTATAGGTATTCTTCCGAACAGCAATAATTGTAATTAGTCCACTTTTCTAAGTCACTCTTAATCTCTTTAAACAGTATGACATAGTTGCCTTCCTTCAATGCAGCCCAACTAGCAGTCAGGCAGATTCCCAAGTATTTAACCTTTTTAACTATTTGAAGATCTACCTGCTCCATCAGGGCTGTCTTTTGCTCCAAAGTAAAATTTTCACTAATAGCTTGGCCTTGTCTCTATTTACCATCTTATAACTCGGCAACAACAGAACTGGAGTAGCGTCTCCACCTGCTGTTCCTTGTGCCACCTCACAACCAACAGAGGCCCACTGAAATGCTCCGAGCAGGCGGGCTCTGGTGAAGCGCCAAGCGAATAAATGCAAGGAATGGCAAGGACAGGGCTGCCTCTGGAGCGCTGCCCGGCCAGGTGTTATCTGCAGCATGCTTCTATCCCCAGGTCCAACAGCCTGGTCCCGGGGCCCATGAACGGCACGTCTGCTGTGGCAGCCAGAGGGCCGGTGCCCGCCACAGAGCAGGCGAGCACCGAATTTGACACGGCTGCAGACCAGCGCCTCCGGATATTTTGGGAGACAAGTCCCATCATCCCTGTGCAGCAGCCATGCTGACTGGGGCTGATGGGAGCTGCAGCCTAAAACATCCGGACAGCACCAAGCAAGAGGAAGGCCAGCTCTGGGCGAATGGGGGCAGCTCAGTGACCCTGCCAGGGCTGCCTGGGGCACCAAGAGGAAGGTCTCAGCTGGCAGCATGAACCAAACCGGCCCTTGTGCGCAACAGGAGGGCCAGAGGGGGTTCTTGGCCACTAGGCCTGATACTCACACCCTTCCTCATTAGCAGACACAGATGGCTCTTGCAAGCGAGTTGCCTCCTTGCATGAATGGGCCATAAAGAACAAGCTAAGATGGCCCCAGAAAAGCTGCTGATGCAGAAGCTGATGGCTCAGCCCCGCAACTCGCTGTGCCAGAACCCGCTGACACCAAGCTCAACAAGCTGGCAGGCCGTGTTCAAGACCACCGCGCCCGTCCTTGTCCCTCGCCCGCACAGCAACTGCAACGGGCTGAGCCACTGAAGGCAGGCAAGAGACGAGACGGGATGCACCAAATCCCCACGTGCCATCTCAGTCCCATGCCAACTCCTGGCGAACCCCGACCAGGCCCAAATCCAGCTTCTGAACAAGAAATGAGGAGGAAAAGGGCAGCCCCACAACAGGAAGTGCCGATGAAGCTGCCCTCATCTCAGACCTGCCTCCTCTCGTGCTCTTTTCCACTCTGTCCGCTCAGTTTAAGTTTGCCGCTTCTGGTGCCACATCCCGCCCCCACTTTCTACCACACCCCCCATTTTAGGTCAAGGCCACGGATGGGCTGAGAACACCACTTACCCCAGGCAGAAAGCAGGCCTAGGAGGACTGTGATGCAAAGAGGACCCTCTGGATGGACTAGGATAACATGGCTTGGCTCAGACAGGCAGTATGTTGGTTCCCATGCGTGAAGACCTCCGCAGTTCACCTGGGGCTGAGCTGCTCAGCCAATTCCAGGCCCTGCAGGGGAAAACGTTTAGTATGAAAAAGGCAGGCCCTTCTCACGGCGGAAAAACTAACTACCGAGATGGCTCATTTCAAAAGAGCCAGATGCATCTTATGTTTCTAGTTTATGGGACCAAAGTTAAATTGAGACAGCATTAAGGATGGGGTGCCAGTTGAAGAGGCGGGGGGAATCTATCCTCAAGCCTACCTCACAGGGTTGTTGTGAGGATATCATCAGTATGAAGACCAAGTAAAGCGAACTCGCCTTCTTGGAGGGAGGAAGAGCAAAAGGTGCATCTTTGCATCCACCTGTGCTTTTCAAACTGGTTCCATGTTTGTGCTAGGCTGCAGCTCTTGCGGAAGCATTTAACTTCACCAATTGTGGACTGCCTTTGGTATTTTCCCAGGAAAAGGTGATTCATAAGCGCTGCAGAGGAATCTCATTCACTGGTTCACCAGATCCAGCTTGGTTTCTACTTGATACGACAAAGACCCTTTGGTCCCAAGGCTGGATTAACTCTCCTGGCAAGACACAGTGGAATGAGAGCTCTGGCCAGCTGAGCCGGACTTTACGCCGGCAGTCGCCTGCTGTGCCACAGCTTGTGGAACCCTCGTCCTCACAGAAGGGAGAAACACGCTCAAAATTGGAGAGCCAGTGTGGCGTAGTGGTGAAGAGCATGGGACTGGGACTCAGATGACCTGGGTTCTAGTCCCCGCTCGGCCATGGAGCCAACTGGGTGACTTTGGGCCAGTCACAGACTCTCAGCCCAGCCTACCTCACAGGGTTGTTGTTGTGGGGATAAGATGCAGGAGGAGAATGATGTAAGCTGCCTTGAGCCCTTGGTAGGAAAAAGGCAGGATATAAATCCAAAAAAAAAAAAAAAAATGCTGGCTGAGCCTGAACTGCAAAGTTCAGAGAGGAACAGCGACAACAAAAACGGCTGATCAGCTGAGAACTTCTCTGAGAACGGCAACTTCTCAGAAAGCAAGTGTACATGTGCAGTTAAGTCAGATACTTTGTGCCCTGCTTGTGGGATGCTTTGGGCTACCTGTCAGCCAATGCATGAAGGAAATGATGGACTAGACGGACCTTCGTTTGATTCAGCTCTTCTGAAGATCACAAGACTCAACCACTAGCACCCTCAGGTAAAAGGAGCAGGCAATGGAGCCCTGGAGAGCCCCTGCTGGACAATACAGAGCTAAGCAGACCAATGGCCAAACTCAGCATATGGCAGCTTCACATATTCATACCTGATTTGCCACAGAAGCAGGTATGGGCTCCAATATGCCCTCTCCACAAACTAAGAGCCCGACTGGAATGGCAGGGTCCCATTCACACCCCGCTGAGGTGCTTGGTTACTGCTGAGTTGAGTGGCAAGCATGGCTGGCCCTGACTCTCCTAATCCTGCATCACCAAACTAAAAGGAAAGCTGGCGCTGGTGTGGAAGAGGAAGGCAAGACACGAAGTGCACAGGGAAGGCAGCCAAGAAGGAAGCCAAGCCCCAGACAAGCCCCTAACTTCTAGCACAGAGATGGGAGAGGCATTCCCCTTCACCTGTTGGATGACACCTGCCATCAGCCTGATCCAGGGCAGGCAATATTGAGGGCCAAGAGAAAGAAAAACAACAACAGGGAGGGAGGGAGGGAGGGAGGGAAGGAGGGAGAGAAAGAAAAAAAGTCACAAGAATTACAATGCAAAGGCTCTTAAAAATAAACTCAGCCTCGCCTGCGAGATGCTGCTTTCAAGCAGCCACTTGCTGCTGAGGCCGAGGGCTTGGTACAGGTGTCTGCAGAAAAACTATCCCCAGAACCCACAAAGAATTCTGAGGCCCATGAACTACAGAACTTGCTGTGGCAGCTGTTTGGACCACTCCCCACCACAGGAAATGCGGGCAATGAATTTGACACAGCTGCACCTTTGCGGGGGGGGGATTATCCCCCACCAAACTCACTCATACCTCAAATGGAGCGCAGGTTACATTAGTGAGCAGGAAAAACACAAAGAATGCCGGGAAAGGATACCAAAAGGAACCCCTTTGTAAAAGTCTGCGTTCCTGTTGAAGCATTTCAAGCCATACCTCTAGCTTAAGGGCCAGGCGGTTCCTCAGTGGTGGAAAGCGGCTCCTCACTCTACACCGACGCATCATTGTGCTGTGCTGTTGCTTCGCCCAGTCCTGAGCATCTCCAGCTTCTCCGCTCGGCTACATGGGAGCTGGCTCTGCTCTCCTTTCATGCTCCCAGCAGCTGCAGATTCAGCGAGAGAAGATATTTCCTGTTCAGTTGTTCCAGTCTCCAATGCATGTTCTACTTCCCTTCTTGCCATGCCTCAGTCACAGAAAACCATGAACCTTTAGGAAGTTTCAGTCAGGACCTAAGAAAGCCAGACAGAAGAGAAAGACAAGCATGCTCTTATAGACAGATTATCATAGTATCCAAATACAAATTAAGCCAAACTTAACTTTTTAATTAAAAGAATTATTCTAGGCTAAACACATGTACCTTTCCCAAGTTCTGCAGCATGAAATACCACTGTGTGTGCCCTAAAATTTTACAAATGATTGTAATGCAGATCCTTATGTAAATTGTACATTTGATTTGTACAGTAAGACCTGAACAATCCATAGGATTCAAGAGCTTTCCAGACACCACTGGACCCCCACCACAGAAAACACAGGTCTAGCATTTGTCTTAATTCTTTGCAATAAAAAATAAAAAAAAAATTGGCAAGTACTATCTTGAATTTCAAGTAATTGTGCCAAAAATAAAATAAAAATCTACAGGCATTATTAACAAAGCTAGTTCTAACTGTTAACTATGTGGTCCCATTTGGTATAGCACATAGAATTATGCACGTTATATATACCGAAAGGCAACAACAGACACCTTTGCCCGACTGAAGCTGCAATTCTATCCATGCTTAGTCTGAAAGGCATCTTGCACGCACCAGCAAGTCACAGCCAGTTGCGGGACTTTTTTCTGTTTAAGCACACAATACTCGAGGTGGACGGGCCTGTAAGGCACACGACCAGAATGGCTCTCTAAGTCTTGCTCGTGTGGTTATATCCCTTCTAACCTCTGATCACACGGAAATTTTTAAAAAGGTTAAAAAAAAACTTTGCAAGCTTTACTTACGGGAGGCAACTTCCGCCAATGAATTTCGCATCCAAATTACCTCAACTGATTTATTTTAAATGCATAAATTCACCCTCGATTCACCATCGCCTGCAATTACTTTGCACCGGGACCAAGATCACCCCCAAGCAACTGGGGGACTCTCAGGCTAAGGCACAGCCTTCCGCGTGATCCAACCCGACGCAAGCCCCCACGTGCCCGCGCCGCGCTGCCAGCACGGCGAGCGGCGGCCGCCGGGCACCGCAGGAGCGCGCCTCCCAATGCGCGCACCCGCCACGTGCTCGCCTTCCGCGGCCATAAAGCCCCGGGGGAGCCTGGCCCGCCGCGGCGCCATCCGCCGCCCCGCACGCCGAAGCCGGTGCCGGCCCGGCCGCGGACCCGCCCGCCCGCCCGCCTGGCAGGCTGCCGAGGCCAAGCAGGGAGGCCGCCGGGCCGCCTCGGCGGGGAAGAAACGCGCGGGGCAGCGGAAGGCAGCTCCGTGCAGCGTGCGAGGCCGGCCCCGCCCGGAGGACAGGGGAGCGGGCCCCGGAGCCCGAGCGCGCCTCCCCGCCCGGCCTCGCCTCGCCTCGCCTCGCCTCGCCTCGGGGGAAGCAGCGAGCGGCCCGCCGCCGCCGCCGCCGCCGCCGCCACCGCCACGTGCGCGCTGCCGGGAAGGGGCTGCGACAGGGCCGGCGCGGGATGAGTGCGTCACTTCCTCCCCGCCCGGGGCCTCGCGTGTCGCCGCCCAAGCGCCCTCAGCCATTGGCTGGCGAAAGCGGCATGACCGGAAACGGTGCCGAAGCCGCCTCACGTGAAGGGAAATTAAAAAAAAACGTGAATTTAGCCTCGCGAGTGAAAGAGGGGAGGCGTGCTGAACTCCTCTGTACTTCTCTGGCGCTGCGATCTAGAAGACCGCCCTGTGCCGCTCCCCGCTGAGGAAGCCCGCCCCCTGGCGGCCGCTCCCTGCGCTGTCCCTGGAGGCGGCGCTCGGAGGTTGCGTTAATGGCAGTGGTGAAAAGCGGAGCTGTGCGGCGTGTTTGAACTGGGCGACATTTTCGGACTCCTTCACTGGTTTAGCATCCGTCAAATGCGCCAAACGGTGGCTCTGCGGTTTGTCAAAAGGCGGGGAGGAGTCACCCCTTTTTCAGTCGTGGTCCATGATCCAGAAGAAGAATGGAAGTGGCTGGTCCCACAGGCGGTCTCCTGCAAAAGGCATCAGTCCCAGGTGATAGTCCTTCAAAAACCAGAGAGAGACTGAACTGGCTGCTTGGTGGCAGGGAGAAAACCAGCTGCCCATAAAGGCCCCCTTGGCACCTTGGGGTTGCCGTCACCACCCCACTCAGGCACAGTTCCGGAGCAACTCTTCCACCCACGCCAGGCTGGCACGTCTGAACCCCAGTGGGGGGTCCGGCGGGACTGATGGAATCGTTTCTGTCAATGGCCCATGCGGGTTTGACTTAAATGCAGATACGTAATCCACGTATCTGCAGCCAAGTACCCCGGTCCTTTGAAGGGACGAGGTCTTGCGGCGGTCCTGCTGGAGGGATCCCGTGGGCAGCTGGTTTGCCACCGTGTGTGCAGAATGCTGGACCAGAGGGGCCTTTGGGCTTTTCTCAAGTTCTTAAGAATCCATAAATAAGCCTTTGGAAGGCTCTCAAAGCATTGTGTTGCCAGAATCGGGGGACCGTAAGTTGGCACAAGCCCAATGGAGTACTGAAGAGATTTACAGTCTTCACAACTTGGGGTGGGGTCACTGTTCCCTTGATCATCACACACTAGCTGGGTTCATCCAACACGACAAGCCACGGTGGTGCCTTTTGCCATTGTCTGTCTGTTGTGCTGCCCAAACCCAGTTGTGGCATTTCACCATGGCAAGTGTGGTCATCAGAAACCACACTAACAAACACCAGGTTGTTCTACAGCTTCCCTCTCCTGCCATGGCTTGTCGTGTTGTCTGAACCCAGGATTACGGTGTCCACAGTCCTGCTATGGAACCACCACAGAGTCCCCTAGAAAGAGCAGCAGCCGCAGGAGCCGCTCCAGCCACCCTGCCTCGAAGTGCAGACCATTGAGGAAGAAGCAGGAACGAAGCAATTTGGGATTGGATTTCAGGCGTGAGAGGCTGGTGGTCTTGCAGGCCCCTCCATCTCTACTGTTCTATGAATGTAGCACTCTGTGACTCAGCAGGGAGAACAGAAGCCATGGCAAGGCAGAAACCACTTGGTCATCTGTTGAGTAGATCAGGTTAAAAAATGGGAACTGGGGTAACCAAACAGGGCTGCTTGTCCTGCTGGGTGAACCCAACCATCAGCTAGAACAAAGTAACAGCACGTCTTTCCCTGCCAGGTAGATAAAGAAGAGCTTTCTGTCCATCCTGGCCAACATGTTAGAACATAAGCAAAGCCAGGCTGGATCAACTCCCAGGCCCGTTCCGTGTTTTGCAAACTGTGACTTCCAGTTCTCTTAAGTGGCCTCCTCTCCTGAAGAAAGAGGAAAAATCCACTGCGGAAGCAGAGTAGAACCAACAGGCAAATTTGCATCCAGGTACACAAGGACAGGGGGTGCCCATCCAGCTTCAAAGTTCACCTTTCTGATCAGGGGAGCATGCAAGGGAGGTGAAATCCAAGAGCAGTTTCAAATGAACAGGGACATCTTCACTTGCTTGCACATACCCAAGACCTTTCACTTGAGCAGTAGAAACCCAAGTATGCCGGGGAGACTATGACAAAAATTTGCACCTGAACACACCTTGCAGAATCCAGCCCCTCCTCATCCACACTGGCTCCTGGCTTTGCCACAGCCCGTTTTATTAAGCTGCAAGATCCACTGGTAGGGCTTCACAAGGACCGGTAAACTGAAGCCGAATCCGGACGAGTCAGAGGCATTGCGGACGATCGTCCCCAGGAAAAGGCGGCTTTGCTCTGGCTGGGGCTGCACCCTCCTTGCAGGCAAGTGCATTGGCCCAACACCCCCCGCTTGAGGCCGAAGTGCCCCTGGTGGCAAGGAGCACCTTGCAGAGCTTGGGCCGGTCAGTCGTGGCTCTTCCAGGGCCTGGCCTGGCCTGGCCACAAGGATCGACGCTCTGGCCGTTTCCGGGCAGGAGTGCTGCAGTGTGTCTGAGAGGGACCGCCTGTGCCAACAGTTCAGAAGCTCCGATGATGAACTAGAAAGCAAAGTGGTCGTGTTGCCCAGAAGAAAGATTGCGGTCTCTGCATTAGTGTAATAGCCACATGGGACAAATCAAGATCACCAAGAAGGGTGCAAATGTTCAGCAACTCTGGACATTCTTGGACAAGAAGTTATCGATGGCAGGATGGACCGGAGCGGAGGAAAAGCTGAGTGTCCCAACATGGGATGTGGCTTTGCAGACCACGTGGAGACTCGAAACATGCCATGTTGCTTCACCAGCAGTTCATTCCCCCCACTCGCTCACACCCGGTCTTCTTTTATAGCCTCTTGCCTGACAAAGAGTGCTGAGTAGCTCAAAAGATTGCACATTACTGTAATGGACACTTTCGAACCCACTAGCCCAGACTTCGGGGGATAGAACTCTGCCATGCCTCGATTGTGCCAGAATGCACAAATTTAGAGGACCGACACTGGTTGTCTGACTTCTGGGCCCACTTCCTGGGCTGGGTGGTGTGCCCCATACAGGGGCATCAGGTACCAAGCAGAGACTGCCCTATAGTTCCATGTGGGGTACATTGGCACACATACCAAGCCGACGTCCGTGGCTCCACTCCTGTCCTGCCAGGAACATGGGGTCCTCTAATGCTGGAGGACTGCAATGTCCATCAGCCACAGCCACACAGGGAGGGATGATGGGAATAGTTCCTGTCCGACATCATTTGGAAGGATGCACCATTGCAGGAGCGATGCTTAAGAGAGGCCCCCTCCAGATGCCAATTAAGCAGCTGCGCATTCTATTTCCAACTCGCGTGCTTTTCAAAAAATTAACTGGTCAGTGAGTAGGGTGTAGCTTTGTTTCAATAATTTTATTTTAAAAAATTAAAGACCTCCATGGCACAACTTCTTCTCAGCACAATTAAGGGTTAGTTTTAACAATTACAATAGAATTACAACCAATAAACTCAAAGAGGGGAAAAAACAAAAATCTAATTTTCAAATAATAAAAAGAATCACTCCAAACAAGATTTTAAAAATCTTTTTTCTTAAAAAAAACAAAAAACAAAAAAAAACACCTCTTTAAAGTTAAGTTGCCAACAGGACTATTAAATTGGCATTTCATTTTCCCGCCATCTAACACAATGCCGAAAAAACAGGAAGTGCTGAGAAATTAAAAAAGTGTTCTGATACAAGGTATACAGATGAGGTAATTTACAACACAGATGTTGTTACAATCTGCAATTTCCTTGTGCCCCCCCCACCCACCTCAGCAACGCTGCCTCTCCGGCAGCAACATTGGCATCTTTCCCCCAGCCAGACACCTTCCGCCTCCACCTCCCAGGTTCGATGTGGCAGCCCTCACCAGATTCCGACTGACATTCCCTGATCTTGCGAGGCGCTCAGACTCGGAGAGACGATCCTCTTTTCCCGCGCTTGCCAGACTGAAATAGAAAACGACGAGACCGGAGGGGAAATCTACCGCCTGTTTCGGAGTCCTGCCCAAGTCCCATGCTCCCGCGGCCGCCAAGCTTCGCCGAGGCAGCCGCGCTGCGCAGGTTTGCTCCCACGATGGCTCGAGGCCTCGAATGTGGCCAGGCTCGGCTCCCGCCGGGAATCTCCAACCCGCATGACTCCAAGGGCTGCGGAGAGAACCGCCTGCGCTTTCCTGCTCTCCTAGTGCGAACACTTCCTACCTAAGCCATGCCCAGCCCTTGGCGACAGTGCCCGCCCGCCCCTCAACGAAAGGAAAAACCAAAAGGAAATTTAAACGGAACGGGAGGGAGTGCGTGGCTACCTAACCCCAATCCAAAAAGTTGCATATATATTTTTAAATCAAGTGATTGATACTCCCAAGATGAGCTGCTGAGGCATCCCAAGGAAGTGGTTGCTGCAAGAGGAGTAAATCCAGGGGTGGGTGGGGGGGTGTGCTTCCAGTCTCTCTTCCCGTCAGTGGTCGGAGTTCAGTGAGCAGCAGCACGCGGGGCCAGGTGCCGTCCACAGCCACCCGCCCCCTCGCCCAAAATCCCCGGGCTGCCCCGGCGCGGAAGGAAAATGTGCCGCGGATCGGCTCGTGCTCCAGGCGACACTTTGGCTTGTGAGGCGCTTCTGGTAAGGCTTCTGCGCACTGCCCGCTGCTGCAGCCACATCAGTGCAAGGTGCAAACCCACGGAGGAGGAAGGGCAGCCCAAGCCCCAGGCCGCGGCTCGGAGGCTGCGCGCGCAAGTCGGCACGACACCGGCCCCGGGAGCCTCCGCACAGGCCACTTAAACCTAACCTTTGATAAATTAAAAAAAATTAACATTTATTTACAGCAAGGAATTCCAACACTGGGTATTTCAGCATAGGAAGGACAAGATGGATGTGTGCATCTCTCTCTATATATATACCTACACACACAGACACACACAAGATACGTCCTCCGGTTAAGATTTCTGAGCGGTCCACCACTTCGTTGTTTCCCTCTCTCTCCCAGGCTGCTTGCCCCTTTCCCCGGCTCTCTATGCACAAGACTGCAGGTGAAGGAAAAACCAAAAACAAACCAACATACACCGGCCCGTCCTACCACATGGCACAGGGGGGAAGGCGAGTGAGCTAAGGCCCCACGCCAGTCTGCCTCATCCGCTTCGGGGAAAAGCAACTGACAAAGAGACGGCTAGCGACAAATTCATTTCCAGAATCCCCAACAGAGAAGCCATCGGCAGATCTTGGTGGAGCGGGGAAGTGAGGACTGGGAGAACTCGTCTGCACAGCGCTTGGAGTGCCTTCCGGCAAAATGGAGAGTCGGCCGCCTCCTGGCGGATCAGAACCCTGGAGACTTCTGGGGCACATGCAGAGCCGCACGCCAGCCATCCGGGGGCCTTGCGAGCAAAGATCCAGTTCCCACAGGAGAGCCGCTTTGCAGGCCTTTACTGAGATGTATCGCTGTGTGACGATCAATTCCTCCCACCCCATCATTCCAAGAAGCAACAGACACCAAGGAGTCGATCCAGCCGGTACTGTCGGGCCCTTGTCCCTCCCTGCGGCCCACTAAAGGCTGGAACGCCACAGTCCGCGCCAGGGGATGGGGCAGTGCAAAACTTTCCCGATATTCTCATCCCAAGAGGGCATCGGCTGGCAGGCAGGAGGGGAGAAGAGCACGGTGGCAGCGGATCCGCGCTCCAGCTCCGCAGCGGCAGGACCGGTGGAGGACACTCGGGGAGCTGCTCGGAACATTCCGTTGTCTCCGTGTGACGAAAGGTTCAAGTAAAAAAAAAAGGGGTGGGGGGAGGAAGTTGGCCTAATTTTATGACTGAACTACTATAAATCCACAAGCAACTGCTCAGACGTGGCTCCCCAAGGCGACCGACCGTCTCCTCCCCTCCTGCAATGCTGGGCTGCTGCTGTCCTGGAGAGGGGGCGGAGGGGGACCCCACCCCAGCTTGGCTCTGGTCAGGCATCTGGGAGGTGGGAGGCCCTCCTTTACTGCTGGGCTCCCGCGGCAGCTGGAACAGGCATGCCCAAGGTGTTGGCGGCAGCGATCACAGGAGAGCCTGCAAGGGGTCCAAGGGGCGAAGACGTTGGCACTGAAGAAATCCCTGCGGAGGAGAGAGGAGGGGGGTGAGAAACCGGGAGGGCCCCGCGCTGCGGACCCCGTGGGCCAGTGCTCTGCAGCTCTGAGCCCGCACAGAACAGCCGGATGACTCGCGGCTGAACAGGGAGACCCACTTCTCTAGGAAGCGTGGCGGCAGCTTGCGGGTTCTCGCGCTCGCTCACACGCCGCCCCTTGGTCGCCCAAGGGAACGGGCTGATGGACGGGTTGAGGTGCTGGGGGCAACCAAGGGCTTCCACTAAGGGGCCCCAGCTCCTCCTTCAGGCACGGCCTGGGCTGGCATACCCAGCCCTTGTGCCAGCCATTCCATGCAGGTTATCTCGTGTCTGGGCATCTGCAGGGGGCTTCCATTCTCCGGTGGCTGTGTTCAGCACATAGGTGGACAGATCTGACCCGCAAGCCTTGTGCACAGGGCAGAAACATGGCCGGGCATTCTCCTTGGATGCCTGCACATGGTTTGCCGCTGAAGAACCATTGCCCAGGGCAGGAGATCCCAGAAATCTGGGGCCAGCAATACGGAGCGGCGTTCTACTTAAGTGTCGCCCAAGAGTCACGCATCAGCACAGGAGTCAGGAAGGAAGACAAGTGGGGAGAGGGTGCAGCACAGTGGGGAAGGGTGCAGGACTGGGACTCAGGCGATCTGGGTTCTAGGCCCGGTTCAGCCATGGAACCCACTGGGTGACTCTGGGCCAGTCACTCTCTCTCGACTCAGCCCACCTCACAGGGCTGTTGTTGCAGGAAGGACTGCGAGCAGGAGGAAGGGAATGATGGAAGCCACTCTGAGTTCATGGTAAGAAAAAAGGCAGGATATAATAAATACTTTATAATATTATAATGAATAAATAATAAACTGAAGCTCAATCCAGACAAGACAGAGGTCCTGTTGGTAGGTGGGTCAGACTTCAGGATGGGGGACCTGGACCTTGTCCTGAACGGGGTTGCACTCCCTCTTAGGGACAGGGTCCGCAGCTTGGGAGTGCTCCTCGACCCGGAGCTGACATAAGAAGCTCAAGTAACAGCGGTGGCGAGGAGCGCCTTCCTTCAGCTTCGGCTGATCCATCAGCTGCGTCCCTTCCTGGAGAAGGACTGCCTGGCGACAGTGATGCATGCATTGGTGACCTCCCGCCTTGACTTCTGTAACGCACTCTACGTGGGGCTACCCTTGAAGACGGTCCGGATACTTCAGTTGGTTCAAAATAGAGCTGCCAGGTTGCTGACGGGGACTGGGCGTTGTTCTCATATAACCCCAGTTCTCTGTCAGCTCCACTGGCTCCCGATTGAAGTCCGGGCCCAATTCAAGGTATTGGTTATGACCTATAAAGCCCTAAACGGCTTGGGACCTGGATATCTAAAGGAACGCTTGCGTCCATATATGCCCTCCCGCCCCTTGAGATGCCCTTCTCCAGGAGCCCTCCGTGAATGTTATTAGGAGGGTGAGTACCCGGAGGAGGGCTTTCTCTGCGGTGGTGCCCCACCTATGGAATGCGCTCCCCAGAGAGGTCCGCCTGGCGCCGTCGTTACTTGTTTTTCGGCGCCAGGAGAAGACCTTTTTATTCAAACGTTATTTTCATTGTTAATATTATTTGTTTTATTCTTTGGCCAGGGTGACTTAGTTTATACTGTTAAATTATATCGTTTTATATTATGTTATTTATTTATGATTGTGAGCCGCCCCAAGGCTTTGGCGAATGGGGCAGCATGGAAGTTCCATCCATCCATCCATAAATACTTTACATTGCAGCAAAGTGTCATTTCTTCAGGGTTGTTCACATGAAAAGATATAATAAAATATTTACAAAATGTGAGGGGTGTCCTCACTTCTGTGATATACTGTATCTCTCCCTCAACTGAGGAGCTGGGAGAGCTGAGGAAAACAGCAGCGACAAAATTCTTGACCTGACTGGCCACCAGGCCCGGATCATATCTGTCGTCAAGGTCTTAAAGAGCTCGAGAAAGAAGCTGCTGATGATTAAATGAAAATATATGGCACATCTCTGATCGGGGACTGGAGGAAAGCCGCTGGGTTGCCATGGAAGCGCCGACTCACCTGACAACATGCTGGCGCTGCTGACGGGCGTGCTGCTCCCCGGCATGCTGGTCGAGCTCATCCGAGCCTGGTCCTTCACGATGGGATCTGCAAAGGTGCACACACACAGAGCGCCCAGGTTAGCGATGGGGCAGGTGCACCTAAGGCCTAAGTGCCAAACACACTGGCTTTGCTCTGTATCTAAAAGCGAGTCAACCACTTCTGTTTTCATTTGTCTACGAAGCAAAGCTTCTAAACCCCGTGACTGCAGAGGGAAGCTTTGAGCAAGCTCATTCCAGAATTGGAAGTTACCCAAATGGACAACATGATATGCTAATTTGTCTGTCCAGGTATAAACACCTGCACAGTTTCCAAGACTGAATCTGTGAAAATCCATTATGTAAAAATGCAGTGATACCTTGGCTCACGAACGCCTCAGTTCATGACCAAATTGGGTCGGGAACAGAAATTTAGGGGGAAAAATTCCTCAGGTCACGAACTCTGCACCGGGTGACGATTGTGGGTGCACGGGGGGTGGGGTGCAGAGATGGGCACAATCGCGGTTGTCCTCGGGGGGGGGAGATGGCCACAAATTGAGCCCATCTCCCCTGCTCAAGTGCGCCCGCAATTGCGCCTGTCTTCCCTGTGATTAAAAAAATATATTTACAGAACGGATTAACCTTATTTACATTGAACCTTATGGGGAAATTTGACTTGGCTCACAGCCAATTTGGGTTGCGACCAGAGTCGTGGAACAGATTAAGTTTGTGAGCCGAGGTGCCACTGTGCTTCCCAATATGGCTGAGTGGGGATGGAGACCAGAGAACCAAATCCACAAGCAAAGCTCCTAGACCTCACGGCTCCAGGATATAATTTTGAGAAACATGCAAAACTCATGCCCCTCACACTAAGCCAGCTCGAGAAGCAACACGGGCATGTTTCTCATCCCTCCCAACAGAGGACCAGGTGCTCCAGAGCTTCCCATGGCTTATTTCTCCCCCAGTCATTCCTCTTCCTCCTCCAGGCATGTGCCCCAGCTTCCTTTCCCCCTTTCTTCATTCCCGATGGAGTGCCCTTTGTGGCAATGTTTAGGGAGGCTGCCAGCCGCAGGAGAAGCGGTCTGCCTTCCGCATCAGATCACCAAATACAGGCTCACAATTTAGTACTTCCTTTAAAGAAATCAGGTCCTGAGCAAGGCACACAAGACCGGCCAGAATCCAGTAGCCTCTTGCTGTTAACATACTTGCTAGTGAGCACCTCTCGTAAAAAGGAGGCAACATGTGCTACCAAGGGAATTCAGCCCACCACCAAAGCTGCTTTCAGCTCTGCCTTCCCTTTGCGCTGGCCCAGGGTGAGCTATCAGATATACCTGGGGTTACAGAGCTAGGTAAAGATATGCAAATTTCAAGGCAGGGCAGGAAACGGGAGAGGCCAATTTCACAATAAAGTGAAAGGGAAAATTCTGCAATTTGACAATAGCAGGCTTGTCAATGTGGACACTTGTGCAATACCGGGGGGGGGGGGGAACGGCTGCAAATGCATTCAGGACATTTTCCAATAGCTTTGCTGCTCCGAGTCTGGAAGTAACGACAAGCTACCCTGAAATTTACCACAGTGTCACAGCTGTCAATCAAGTCGTGGCCTCTCTTGCAAAACTCTCCCATTTGCAGAGATCAGATTTTTCATGATCTTCTGCAGTCCAGTTCCCTGCTGTCCAGTCTTGCTGCCCGTAATGCTATTTATTTTTACTTAAAACTTTCCTCAGTCTCTTTTTGGGGAAGGAGCCCCGCCAAAGCTACATGTACCGTGCACTGAACATCTGAATTCTGACCCTCAAGTTATACAGAACCGCCTACATTTGCTTCAAGCCTAGCATCTGCACCTTGGACGTGGGAGGCTTTGAAACACCTTGACAAGACCGTCAGCGGTAAGTTGAGGAGGGCTTAGGAGGCCTGGGAAAAGCTGGACGTCTCCACTGCCTATCTCATTTATCAACCGAGTCTCATGCTGAGCTCTTGGTTTGCCTTGTGAGAAGATACTACACATGGCCAGTAAGTTTTATGTCACCCTGAAAAAGGACAGAAGCGCTGTTTTATGGAAGCTGGAAAAACGGACGGATGCCCCTTTCGGAATACTGTGCCTGAAGCGCGTTCCAGTGGATGCATCAACGACGACGCTCTCCGATGCCCTGCCAAATCTTTGCTGCTGGAAAAAGCTAATAAATCTGGACGGAGGCAGACCGGACTCACAGAAGTAGGGGTGTTCCATGGCTTCTCTTGCTGTGAGGCGAGATTGGTGGTCGTATCGCAGCAACTTGTCTAAGAAATCCAGGGCCTCCGGGCTGACCAAGTGCTGATTCTCACTATGAACAAAGCGTTCCCATCGCTTCCGGGAGTGTCTGTGAGGGAGGAGGAACAGAGAGCACCAGAAGGAGGACCCCTTCGCACCTGACTGGGCACATGGGTATTTCTGCAAGTCACTGACACGCCTTGAAAATGCAAACGGGGAATACGCGCATCCAGACCAAAGCTGCGTTGTCCGCTCTTTCTGCAGCGCTTGCGCGACAAGGGACCCCTTAAAGTTCTTGCCGCACAGGATTGTTTTTGGTCTGCACACAACTCAGAAAGAAGGGCCGGATCTCCAGTGGATCACCAAGAGAAACGCAGCAAAGGGTTTGTGTGCAGCACTCCAGGAACCAAATACCGGGAGGGATCTCCCCCTGGCCCCCCTGCTCAGCCCCAAGGCCTGCAAGGGAGGCTTTTCTCAAGGGTGGCTGTGATCACCAGTGTGGCCACAGGGGAAGGGGCCTTCTCCCGGGGGGCAACCCGTCCATGCACCCCCCCGCCCCGTGCGGGGGACAGCGGTGCCGTGCTCGTCGCAATTCTGGTCCCAGATCAAAACTTCCCTTGCCCGGCCTTTGAGGCCGGCACAGGTTGACACTGTTCTGCTTCCCAAAGTGAATGCCCAGGCTGGAGCGGCCTTCCCAGCCAGCAGCAGAGGCTTCTGGCAAACTTCTGCAGCTGCCCGAGTTGGTCACACTGGTCTGCCTGATTGTGCTGAAGCCGTGCCCATTTGCAGCCCCCCCAGGCAAGGCACCCCCACCCCCATGCCAGGGAGATGCCCCACAGCAGGGCAGGGGGGCAGGCGCAGAAGCCCATCTCTCAGTCTATCAAACTGCTTCACAACAAAGTGCAGATCAAAGAAGCCTGTCCTGAGCAGCTGAAGATGTTGTGAGAAGGTTAGAGCATTTGGACACGTTCAAATTAATAACATCAGGGCTCTTTTAAAGAACAAAACATTCCTGAAGCGTATGTCCCAGGGGCTCCCTTAGTAGCCATGCCAGGTTTGAGGCGTCTAAATTTCTCAGGCTTGGAGCCATAGCACAGACAGATGGCTGGACAGACAGACACCCATCCTGAATGAGAGATTCTATATTTCTGTTCACCAGCTTGCTATTGATGAAAGGCAGATTCTAAATGCATTAACTAAATCAATAAACAGCTGAAACTGCAGCTGTGCTTTGCACCCCACGTTCCCTCGGCAGAATCCCAAGTTCTCTTTGCACCCCAAGTTCTCTCGCCGTGCAACTTTAGGTCAAACTCATCTTACCTGCCCAAGATGTCGTTGAAACGGGGGTCCAGCTCAATGTTGTATTTGTCAATATAGTCATACAGATCTTCCGTTCCCAACACCTTGGCTATTCTCACCAACTGTGAACAGACAGCGCAAGCACGTATGAGGGGGCGCCTGGCCCAAGAGGCTGAACTATGTCTCGGGAAGCCCCTGGTTCAAATCTCAGCGCTGCCCACAAACCCGGAAGGGCAGCCTGGAAGCTTGCTGCTCTCCCTCAGTTCCAGACGGCCTCCTGCAGTGCAGGGACTGCCTTCAGGCCTATCTCCATGCAGCGCTTTTACCACTGACTAATGAAACCAAGCATTGTGCGGGGGGGGGGGGAGATAAGCTAGCTCCGAGGTACAGTATTCAGAGAGGGGAGAGTTAGCTCACTGGAACGCTGCACTGGACGGACAGCTCTTACATTCTTGCAAGCTGAAAACATGAGAAAGGGGGGAAACGCCACTGAGAATAGCCATGAAGTCCCGAGAGGGTTCAAGTTAGGAACTCCCCTTGAGCGGCAGAGGAAAACCAGATTCAGAGATTGGTAATGCAAGTCCAGACATGCCAGCTGTTGCAAGGGTGGTTTTCCCCTCACAAAACCAGCAGCTTCCCTGAGCAGCGAGGAGGACTGGAAAACAGGACTTGCGATGGTGCTGGCAGCAGCTCTAGCTTCTCGTATGCTTTTTGTCAGCCCCCTTTGCAAAGCAAGGCAAGGGGCCTTCTGGCAAGAGGGCAGCTTACCCAGTGAGGCTTCACAGAGGACACGAGCACTGCCTCTCATCTCTCGGGTGGTCTGTGGCCAGTGTGACGACTGAATCCACAGGGAAGTAGTAACCATGGGAAGAGGAAGCAGGCGTCTCACCTGGGGCAGCTCCGTTTACGTCTGCAAGCCCTCCCTTGATACCTCAGCGACTGGCTGAGGAAGAGGCATGCAGAAACCAGCCCCGTATGCCGCTCAGCTTCTGGCCTTCTAGTCCTTGCACAGCCTGGGAAAACACTTGCTGCAGAAAGGGGAGAGCAACACGCCGGCAGCAACCTCACCTGATCGTAATTATCATGGCCATGGAAAAACGGCTCCTTTCGGAAGATCATGCTGGCTAGCATGCAGCCCAAGCTCCACATGTCCAAGCTATAGTCGTACATCTGAGGGGGAGCAAAGAGGCCCGTTAGCCTGGCTCAGTTTTGGACTTGCCGCAATTACGCGTTCGCAAAGCCACCTTCCTTTCCCGCCGCGCGGAGCCTTCAGCTATGCCACACTGACCTGATAGTCCACAAGGAGCTCGGGGCCTTTGAAGTATCTGGAAGCCACCCGGACATTGTATTCTTGTCCAGGATGATAGAATTCAGCTAAACCCCAATCTATTAGCCGCAGCTAAAAAGAAAAGGAGAAATTGAGGATTGGAACTTCTTCTCTTTGGTTTACAGCTTTCAGAACCTTTGCATATGCCTGAGGAAAGTACAGTATTAGAAACCAAATGAGATGATGCCAGGTTTTTAAAACGCCGAATATTACTGAGAACAGGTGGTGGATAAATAGTCTCTGGCAAAAATGCAACTGAGCTAGAGGGACACAATGCTTAGGTGTGTTTCTTGGCATGAAGGATGGGCACCCACACACTGAGCAAGGGGGAGAGGCCTGACAAATCCTGGCCCAGAGAGCAACCAAATCACCGAGCACAGCATTTCTCATGAGAAGAGCAATACTGAAAAGTTATTAACTAGTTTGGCTCCAAGTCCAGGATAAAAACCAAGCAGACTATGGCAAGCAGCAGCTAAGAACAGCCTGCCCTGAAGCTAGACCAGGGAGGAGCAGGCATTCCCTTGCCAGCACACACCTTTCCCCGTTTCAGTGGATACCTAGCGCAGATTTTGCGCTTGTATTTGCAAATCAGCCGGAGTGCTGTGAGCGGAAAAGCCACCCACAGCAGGCTCTGCAGGGGTGACGAACCCCCACTGCTGTTCCCCTGTAACGGGAGGGCGCGAGGCACGCGTTATCGGGTTCACTCCCAATTTACACAAAGTGGACCTGGACCAAGGGGCTTGATCCTGTGGAACCAAGCCGGAGCACTCTGCGGCAGGGGTCTCAACACGCGGCCCGTGGGCCGATTGCCGGGAGGGGCGGGGCACGGCGGAGGGGCCCTGCGGCCTCCGGGAGCGACGCGGGATGAGCGGCCCACCACCCCCGCGGGGGTGAAATACTTGGCGCGGCCCGGCTTCACCCAGACGGCCCCCAGGTCAGTTGCGTCTGAGACCCCCGCTGTGCAGCATGCTCCGGGGGGCTCCGAAGGCCTCTGGCAGGTGCGCGGACGTGGGCAGATGGAGGGAGGGAAGCCACCGGAACAACGATGCTCCTGCGCAACAGGCCCTCCCTGCTGCTGCTACAGAGGCCCCGTGCCAAGAGCATGGGAGCCTTCTGGTAACGCTACAGCCCAATGCCAGCTGGGGCGTGTGGGGGAGCGCGTCCCACCTTACCGTGCTTACCTTTCTGTGTTCATGGTCAATCATGACATTGTGGGGCTTGACGTCTCGATGCATAATCCCCATACTGTGACAATAATCTAGGGCCTGGAGCACACACACAGACAGCAAGAACATTCAGTAGTGGCACTTATGCTACCGGGAATCGCAATGCCGGATGGGTGTGAAAGGAGAGCTTCCAGGTGAGCAGGGGCTCACAGGCATCCACCAAATCCTCAGGAAAACCGGGATGGGAGGACCTTCCTGGGCTCCCCAGGCACGCTGGCTGCCACCTCCCACCCGCCCCTCCACTGACATGCCGTGAGCTATGTCTCACTTGACTGCGTTTTGCAGGTACGGCTCCCGGCGACTGTTAGACTGCGGCACGACTGGCTGCACTGCTATTTCCCCTTTACTGCGGTGCCTGGGACCAAGCCCACAGCCTCTCCAAGGCAGGCCCCTGGACTGGGCTCCCCAGACGCGACCCTGCGTGGCGCACGCACGTCCACGTCCGTCGGAGTGCTTTCCCGGCAGGGGTCACTCGCCTCGCGTCTCCGGCTTGCACTGCATTGCTCCAGCTCAACACTGGAAGCTTTTTCATTATTATTACAGAACTGCCTATCTGCATATCCGATTATCTGGGATCTTTGATGTACAGTCATTGTTTTGGGGCAACATGAAGTGCACCCATATATATAATTTTGATTTGTATCCGGCCTTTTTCCTACAAAGGGTAGCTTACCTCATTCTCCTCCTCCATCTTGTCCCAACAACCACCACCCTGTGAGGCAGGTTGGGCTGAGAGTCTGTGACTGGCCCAAAGCCCCCCAGTGGGATCCACGGCTGAGCGGGGACCAGAACCCAGATCGCCTGTGTCCCAGTCCCACGCTCTTAGCCACGATGCCCCACTGGCTATATGATGTGTGCGCTCTGCCTACTCTACCAGCCAGCCATTCATCTGTCCCTTCCCCTCCTCCCACTGGGCCTGAGACCCAACAATATGTACTGAACCCACGATATCCCTGAGGGATGCCTTCACAGTATGTGACCCGAGTTTTTGCTATATTCGACCTACTGCAGTGGTCCAGAACTGAACCTGCAGTATCTCTAAGGTATCCCCATAACCAATAACCCAGGAGGCAAGTGGCCAACAGAAACTCACCTTCAAGATTTCATACATGTAGAACCGAATATCGTAGTCCGTTAATGTTTGGTACAATTGCTGTGAGAGACAAAGACATCAATGGCATGAATGCCACTGCAGCCCCCCCGTTTCCCTACCAGCTTATGGGTGCTGGGATGAGCTTTTCTTGCTTTGCAATAAGAAATATGGGTGGACGTGTCTGTCTGCATTTGGGCTGTTCTCTGGGATAGGCCACACCCTGTTCAGGCAAACTGGGAATGGAGATTTCATGCAACACAAGGCTACAACCAGCCATGATCCCAGGGTGAGAAAACACGCATGACCATGCGTGCTCAGGCGCGTGCACGCAAGAAGCAGCGGCCTGGGGTGGTCACGCATTGCGGCCCTTGTTCTAGGGCACAGGGGCAGAACCTCTGTCGGATCAGCCTGACCCAACCTGCTGGCATCCCTGGTCCAGCCCGCAAAGGCTTCTCGGGCCCCCGTTAAGGCAATGGGCTCTGGCCAGGCGTCCCAACGCACACCAACTCACTTCGCAACACTGAGATCTGGTCCCTTTCTCTGCACCAGGAGAAAGCCTGGAACTCCATGCCTTCCCCAGTACAAGGAGAAAACGGGGTGACATCATCTGCCGCCCCCCTCTCTTGAACTGCGTAATCTGAAAGCAGCCAGAGGCGTGAGCGACGCTGGCCTGTGAAAAGGGGGTGGGGTGATCGATAGTGTGTTCCTGGCACGATCCTCATCGTGTTGCCCATCCCGCCAGTCCTCAAGTCGACGTGGATTCCATGCTTTTCCCCGAGACTCCAGGTGCTTGGCCAAGTGGGAAAGTGCTCCCTGCATTTTTTGTCTTGGGAAAGAGACAGCTAGAGGCCACAAGCTTCAAGGGGGTTTTGACAGGGCAAAGGGAGTTTTTGGACTGGGATACGTAGTCCCATGGCAGCAAGAGCCGTCCTGCTGTGCAGACCTAACCAGTAGCATAAATAGCTTCTAATGCCTCAGCTGTTCTGCATTTTGCACCACCCATCAGTATTTTTGTCACTGAAATCCTTCGTTTCAAGCAGCGTAGTGAGACTGGACGGATTTACTGCCTCACCACCCGCAACGCATTGACCAGTCATGGCCTGCTGGGTCATTTGAGGACTGCTGCCTTCTTCCGCAAGCACCAGCTGCACCTGAGCAGATCGCTAGACAAATGGTGCTGCGCATGTATCATGACTCAAACATGCCACTGAGTTGTCCTTTTCTCACCTTTGCCTCCCCACCCGACCACATGAGTGCTTACAAGAAATTAAGATGCCAGCAACCTTCAATGGGGAGCCAACTGTACCTTAAAGTCTGTGTTGTTTACATGTTCAAAAACCAAGGCCGGAGTCCGAGACTGGAATGGGCAAACAAATAGGTCAGACATACTGCATTCTGAGCTCTATGCTGCTTACAGACCAACGGTTGGCCTACACCCACCATTTCCATCTCTCCCGATCATGTCCTGGATGTTTTTTCCCAGCAGTTCGACTGCAGCTTTACCAAATGGATTGTCACACACGCTAGAAGAAGCTGCAAGTCAGTACAGGGAGGAAGGGCCCTCCAAGAGCAGCCCATCGGGTGGAAAGACCTGACCCGATTACACAATACAGAAGCAGGATTGGACAAGGAGGGGGCCGTGGAAAGACTCCGTGTAGCCTTGATCACGAGATGCCCCAAAGGCCAGTGTGCCTTATTTACGGCACTGGGGCTTCTTGCATTGTGTCATTTGAAACAAAGGCAGCTCGGACACGTCTCCCTCTCCCACAGCTGAGAATCTGCCACTCCTCCATTTAGTCAGAGGAAGAGTTCCTCGCAATTCACAAGCCTGCCCCCCCTCATGGAGATCTTTGCCCACTGAAAGCAGCCTCACATGTAGCTCAGAAGCAACATGTTAAATCGGATGCCTCGTCTGCGGAGCGTTAAAACAGAAGAGCACAAGTCGCAGGGAACAGCCATTGCCAAACACCAGGCACACAGAGAAAACCATCTGGAAGAGGCGCCCAGGTGCCACTGCGCCCCCAGACGTATGGCTCCTTTCTGTGCCATACCTGGCACATACCTTTCCTGGTCTCCTCTAAGAGGAAGCAGGGTTAGTAGGCAGGTTCCAGCAGCAGCTGCCCCTGGCAGCAGCAGCTGCGACACAAAGGTAGTCTCTGCACACAGGCAGGTTCCTCTGAGCTACCAAAACCCAAACAGTGGCAGCTCCCTGCTCCATCAAGGTGCCTGATCAAAATGATAAACCAGGTATGGGAGTTTCTCCCCCACCCCCAAATCCACGGAGCTGCACCAGCACCTGGAACTACTCACCACAGGGTCTTTCACTATATCTGCAAGGGTGATGATGTTGGGGCCGCCTCGTAAGTTCTCCAAAATTTTGATTTCACGTTTGATTTTCTTCTTTTTCACGGGCTAATGGAAGAGAAATGCCAGTTTACCAAGGGCAACGTTTCAAGTCCAAGCAAAGCCAATCCGCCCCACCCACCACCACAATACAGCCGCTGTGCCCAGCTCTTCTTCCTGGCTCTTTTAAATTGGGTTGAATTTATTGAACGCTCTAGCTTGACAGTGTGCAGCATTTCGACTGTTGCTATCCAGGCATCGCATTCACAGGAAGAGTGAGACAATCCAGTGGGCAGGCAATTGGAACAAGGGAAGCAGCACCCCCTTTGTAGATCTTCCTCTCTGGGAAATGCATCCAGAAGAGGACCTTCCATCCATTCACTCAACCCTTTCTAAATGTCCCAGCACCCACTGCAGTAGTCTGTGTGTGTGGACCCTGTTACAGAGCGGACGATGAAATTCCATCACATCGCACTCTCCTGTTTTCTAACCATTTCATTGGCCGGACTTCAAACAACTATTCAATTTCTTTCATCATCTTCGGGGTTCTGGGTTTGCTTCTCTTAAAAAAAAATGGTTTACCCACTACCACACATGGTAATGCATTCCTAAACTGAGGGGAAACTCGGAAGCATTTTTCAACATGGCGTGGCCACATTGTGAGGAAAACATGGTAAACCATGGAGAATGTCCAAGCCTGCAGGAGACTCTAAGGAGCTTATCTGGATCCTGGCCATTCGTTTTTCCATCACTCATAATTAACAGCTTGTATGAAGTATGAAATGCCTTTTCTAAACTTGGGAACCCAACTGTCTCTTCATAAAAACATGGTTTGTCACCAGGTTGCTCTGTCTGCCGATTTCTAGCACGCAGTCATCCTTTCTGGTTAAAGGGAATCATGGGAGTTGTAGTCAGGCACATCTGGAAACTTCCCAGGCTGGGGGAGGGGACGTGATGCAGTAGCTCAGGCAACCAAGCAGTGAACGCCCAGGGACTTAAGTCCCTGTCACTGCATTCTTTTTAGCACTAGGCTAAAGCCTTTTTATTTTCCCAACATTTTAAGGTTTTATTGTCATTATAATATGGATTTTACTACTAGGAATTAATCAGGATGCTGTTTTATTTTGCTCTACTCAGTCTACTGTCAAACCGTCCTGAGATCACGGCAGCGGAGGGTATAAAAAAGTCTTAAATAAATAAAGAAGTCTGGCCACCTGTTTCACCATCTGCCTTGGCCCGCGTAAAAATCCAAGCCTAAAAAAAGGAGATATGCCAGGCAGCCTTTTGGAAGAATTGTACTGCCCCATACACAGGGGTAGCTGTTCGCCTGCCAGGAAGGCTGGCCTGATCCTGGGAGAGCCCCCCACTCTGCCATAAAATGTGGAACTGGATTCCTCAGAGGTTATGCCCGGTGTGACTGACCCTGTCGATCTCGAAGGAGATTCCACGCTCTCCCTGATTCGCTGGTACTCCCTCGTCAAGTTTCACTGATCCCCTTGGTCCACTGCTTTCGGCCTCATTCTCACCTGTGCGCCAAACGAGGCCAGCCGCTCCCCATTCCTGTGCAGTCATTTTGCCATTTTGTGCACAAACGACGTTCAAGAAAGGCAACTGAAAGGTGGGTAAGCAGGCAGTGACCATATATTGGCCAAAGAGAACACCGGCTGGAAATCTGCCCTAGATTCGCACTGAGAAAACCGTTCAAAGCAGATGCTAAAAATCTGCAGATGAAGAATGAGGCCAGCACATTCGCATGTACAGCACACTCACTACCTTTAAAAAGAGGATAAAATGGCTCTTAAAGAAGACCACTGTGCACATGAACAGAACTTTCTAGCCAGCCGTCCAGCACTGCTCTTTAGAGCGCAGGCCTTGCAATTTACTACCCCAAAAGCAAAACAAAAGCTAATCATCCCGCCAGTTAAGAATGCTAGCTCTAAAACCAAGCTGTGGGGCAAAGAGGGGAGAGTTCATGCTTAGAAACCAGAAAACTCTGAGCACACGAAGATAGGCTGGGTTTATATGCCTCCCAGACAGGGAGCTCACGGGCAAGTGAAAGACTACAAGAGGCAATGGGAGCGACCACTCTGCAGTACCTCCGGCGTCCATCCACTGGACCACAACACCGCTTAGAACATCCCGGCCCAGTGGTGGCTGCCATCATGTGTCAGGGCCAAGGCAAATCAGAAGCCCATCCTGCCCCTCACCAGGCCTCACAAAGCACCATCGAGACTCAAAAGCTGAAGGGGTCTGGCAACCGGGCTCTAATGTTGGGGGGGGGGGAGCCTCTCCAGCATCGGAGCTATTCAAGTCATTCCTTCAATTGCTGTGAAAACCCCACCCATCGACACACACTTAGAATGTCGTGAAAGGAAAGTGGGTCAAGCCTGTGGGTCTGACCCCCCACCTTGCCTTCCCCCCACAGCCTTCCAGGTATCAGCGCACTGGTGTCTGGGACCAGGACACTTCTCGAAGCACACGGACCTCTGTACTGTTTGGAAACCTGCCTCATCAGGGCTCCAGAGCCAAACGTGGGTTTTAATCTGCAGACTGCCCAGAGAGCCTGCGGGCTTCAGGGCGGTGCAGAAAAGTGATAAACAACAAATAAAAAACCACGTGCTCAGCAACAGCATCCCACTGCAGCGCTTGTCCTGTAAGTCACGCAGAGCTGCTGGGAAAAGGAAGGGCCGGGGTGGAGTGGCCAACAGTCTTACTGGCACTCTTTCCCATCCAGGGTTTCAAGGCCAAGGGGCGTGAACTTCCGCACTTCCAGCGTCTTGGGCACACGCTGCAGTGGCCGTTCCCGCTGCACTCACCCCGGAGGCAAGACTCACCTTCAAGATTTTAACAACTACTTTTTCGTTATTCGTGATGTTGATGGCTTCAAAGACTTCGCTGTATTTGCCCCGGCCCAGTTTCCGGACGAGCTGGTAGTCATCCTGATTGCTGTGAACACAAGGCCGTCACAAGGCGTTCATGCTACGCAACAGATACGAAAGCAACCGGGGGGGGGGGGGTTGGCTGGGATTTGTACGCCCTTTTTCCTGCTTAACACGCACGGGGCTTATTCTTTCATCCCTTATTACCACTGCACTCCGATGTTGTCTCCCCACTGACAAAAGTCTGGCTGGAAGTTCCCCAGGACTAAGTCCTGTGTCTGCCATTATTCACTTATGCCAGGCTAGCCACTACTAACGAACTGATGCAATTAGAACACGGCAGTCTGGGGCGGAGCTGGCACACCGATCAAGCTCAGCCAGGACGCTGATGAAGGCAGCACTTCCAAGTCTCATTTGAAGACCCTTCCCGGAATGGCTCCAGCGATCCTTTCGGCAGAGACGCCGGGCGGTGAGGCGGAGGCCTCCTGCCCTGCCATTGGGCTCTGCCCCCTTCCCAGACCCACAGCAGGACGGGAGGCACATCAGTTTCATGTCTATACCAGCCACTAGCCAAAGCTCTCTGGAGCAGTCAAGGCAATCCAAGCACTGCCCTATGCACTGAATCATTCCCCTCTGTTTTAGGATCATGACGGGATCTGCCAGGGTGCGGCACTCTCGCCCTCCAACTGCTGCAGAAGCAATACAGGGCTGCCAGCAGACACTGAAAGAAGCTGGACACTTACCCCCATTCAACCACATGTGACTCATAATCCCAATATTCTCGTGGTCTGTGTGTGTTTACATCTGTGTAAACTCTGGCCCTGCTTGGCACGGGTCCCGACATATCGGACAGTTTGGCAGGATGAGTTAGGCTACACAGTTGTCGTATTTGCCTTTCCTAATTGCAGTGCAAATCACAGGACGGGATTTCAGGAAGAGCTCTTGAGTTTTTCAACTGCAGAAAGAAAGGAAAGAAGGAAGGAAGGAAGGAGTCAGCACATTGAAGCAGTCGGTCAAAAGTGCACAGGTCAGCTCCTCCTACAGAAACAGGTAAGCCCAGGAAGATGCAAAATCATTTCATGGCTACAAAGCACGTCATCCAGGCACAAGTCCAGTCCGAGTTCTCTTTCTGCACCGGCAGCGTCCTTGTCTGCCCAGCTGAGCACTGCCTTTCGCACCAGCAGCCCAGTGCCAGAGCTCCCGCAGCACCCGAGCTGCCCAAGACCCGCTAATGCCATCACCTTTTTCTGAGGAAGGAAATACATAAACGCTTATCTGCATGCAGGTGTGATCTAAAGAGGCGAACCTGAAGCCCTGGAATGGTTCAAAGGCAAGATACTCTTGCAACACCAATGCTCTGCAATAGGCACCTTCCATGAAAGAAGTTTAAGGCTTTTCAACGAGATTTCTAGAAGTACAAAACCATCTCTCACAACCCCTTACATGAAGCACATTTTGTACCAAACACTCCCTTTTCCCAGTGGGCCTGAAAAAGAGGAATATTCCCAAAGAGACGCAGGAAGGTTTGGAAGCACTGGCAATGGAATGTTTGCCTCTTCCTTAGTCCTGGTGAAGCTCCAAACCTGTAAAAGTGGAACCTGAGACTACACAAGTCACATGGGTTTCTCTGTAAAAGTGCATGCATATATTATGCTAGCCAACCCGTCTGTGGTTGCAGAGGGAGAACAGGGCTGCTGGGAGCAAACGCTGCTTCTCCATCCATCCCTCACCTTAAGCAGAGGTATGAGCTGGCCTGTACGCACAGGGACTTTCTATCCACCTGCCGGCAGAGCGATCCATCAAGCTCACATGCTGGGTCGCCTCTGCTAAGCTGGAAAGGTGCACGCCTGGAGTCAAGGGGGGACCACATGTGGAAGTGGAGCAGGGGTTGGACTCGGTGGCCTTCCAGGCCCCTTCCAACTCGACTGCTCTCCTATTTGAACTCAGTCCGTTGAGACATCTCGCTCAGTACCGTCTACAACAACAAGCAGCAGTCAACCAGGGTGTCAGGAAGAGGCTTGGCCACCCCAGCTGGACATGCCAGAGGCTGAAAAAAGGCAAAAGGTTCCGGCCAAAGTCATGGGTCGTTCCTATTGTGGTCAACTAGGTGCTTTCTGGGAGCCTAAAAGTAGGACACGGAGCAGGATCCATTCCTCATTGTTGCTTCCTCTGATATTGGAGGTAGCACAAAGGTACCAAGATAGGTGGCACGGATACCGTCGCCCTCCCCAGACCAGGCATCTGCGATCATCCCAGGAGGGCCGTACCGCATTCCCTCCATGCCTGCTCAGACACAGACCTTAAAGACCTTTCTGGTTCAGTCCCCTCCTCACTGAACAGATACACCAGCCTTCCTCTGTAGGACGGCCATGTGGCTTTATTGGTCCGATCAGAAGTGGTTTCTGCTGCTATTTTAAACTGAGTGTTTTAGATGTTGCGATTGCTTTGCAAAAGCGTGGTTTTGAAAAGCAGTACACAGGCCCATAAATAAATAAGTAAGTAAGTAAGTAAGTAAGTCAGTCAGTCAGTCAGTCAGTCAGTCAGTCTACCCAATCAAATTTATTAGCCTTCCCCCCCCCCCCCCACACACACAGCCATTTAGCTGGAATTTCCCACACACACACACCCTCTGCCCACTACAGGATAATAGCTGCAGTCCAACACATCTGAAAGGCTCCGGACTGGTTACAGTACAAATAAGGCACAAACTTTAAATACTTGAGAAGCCTGATCTGTCTCCGGAGGGGGCCAGGCCTGCTGCCCAGGCTCCCCAGGAGAAAACCGATTTTTAAAACCATCAGGTGGGATTATGGCTTTAGACAAATCTGTATACGTGCAAAACCTCAGGCACATCCAAGACTGACTAGGTAGAAGGAAAGGAGGATGCGGAGGAAAGACACCTTGATTGGCCAGCTGCTATTCATATTGGAAAAATTCAGAATTCTTCCCTGATACTTAAAGCTTCGTCTGTTTTGTCTTGGCTTACAAAGGGGACAATTTTGTTGTGCAGAAGAAAGTGGGTGATTCATGCTATTGAAAGAAACCAAAAGGCCAACTGTGGAATCTTTCCCATGTCATGTGGCTGAAAGCAGACAGATGATATACAAGCAAAGATGTTTGCAGAGCAGGATAAAAACACACATTTTCCGCCAAAACAGGCATATGGAGACAGCTTGCAATTCAGCGAGGTTTAACCCAACATGATCTCACTGAAACATTCCTGCTTTAAGTTTGGAGGTACTCTCTTTACTTGCACAATCCTTAAGAGAACTAGTCATAATGTGGGGCCGGAGAACCTAAACGATGTATCATGTCCAATTAGTATTTCCCATCCTGCCAGACCCTGCCGCCTGAGCTTCCCACCTGAAGCAAATGGCAGCTGGGAAGGAGGGGTAGTTCACCCCCCCAACGTTGTACAAAAGCTGTTTGGGGAGGGAGGCACGCAGGAAAGAAAGCAAGTATATAGCTACTTAGCTGCAAGAATGGGGTTCTGAATTTTTAAAAGCAATGTTACAATGTGCTGTTGTTGTTTTATTCTACATAGTATTTTATTGTGTTTATTGTGTGGAGGGGGAGGCAGGGTGCCGTGCCACAAGTCCCATGGGACAGCAAGCCACCCTGTGTGTCAGTTGCAGCCGGCACGGCACCCTGCCCTGCCCGCCCCTCCAGAGCGTCTTCCGCTTCTGCCTCGGCAGCCTCGCTCTTGGTCTTGGACACGCGGGGCCAAGGCGGCAGGCCCGCATCCTTTCCTGCTCCGGGGCAAGGAAGGCAGCAGGAGGGGGCAGCTAACTTCCCTCCCTCTTAGGAAAGGCTGGCTCAGCGTGTTGGGCACTCCGAGGACTAAAATCAAAGCAGCAGGGGGAGGCGGGCCTCTGGAACTGCTGGCATGGGGCGGACCCCCAAAATGCAGGCCTCCGCGGGTGAATCTGTCCTGGAGGGCCAGGAGGACGCTGTTCCTGTGCCCACTCCACATCTGCAGAACACCCTCCTGCAGATACAGCACCCTCTGCGGTGCAGCCTGAAAGACCTCCTTGTTCTGGACCACCTTTAGATAATTTTGGCTTGCTCTGATGCAATTATGGTTTTATCTGTTGCTGGATTATTGTTTTCCTGTTTTAATGATCTAGGATTTACGCACGTTGTTATTTATTGCTGCTGACGTAGTGAGCCACTTTGCGAGAGTAGGAAGGCAGACAAAACAAAAACATCTGCTCAAAATTAAAGATAAATAAATTTCGTCAATACCCTTCTCCATCTGCTAAGAAAACGCAGTAGCAAAAAAACCATTTTAATGCTATCAGGCAACTGATGTCTTTTACCTATGAAGTAATTGAAAGTACAAGTGGGAAGCTTGAGTTAGAACTCATGTACTTAAATCAATCCATTCTGCCTGTCAAATGCTGGCAGTGAATGGTCAAAACAAACCAGAGGATCCTACCTTCCTGTGCAGCAATTCCTTGCAAAACCCGAAAGTCCAATCTATTTCAGGTTTTGAGCAAATAAAAGCCATTATGCATACACAAAAAAGGAACGATGCATCTAATTTCCAGCACTGAAGGCCAACCATCCCAATTTATTTTTTTCATGACCTAGAAAGAGACAGTTCTGCCCACCTCCTCTAGAAAGTTCACTGCCTCATTTATACAAGGAGTTAAGGTGTGTGACTGAAACATTTCTAGATTCTGACACTCAAATCTATCCCATCGCCTTAGCACTTTGGACCCAACAGCTTCTCAAACTGCTGACTGCTTAGAAGTTGAGAAGCAATTTCAATAATCTTGGATTTCCTCATTCAACCAATCAATGAAACCAGTTGTAAATCAACCGAAAAGAAAATGCTCAGCTTCTCCAAATATAAAATGGTTCTGAGAGAAGAATGTTAAAACCTGCAAGAGGCTTTACTCCAATCCCCCGACACCAACCCCCAGAGCATGCTTACTCCAGTTTCCGCCAACCATTCTCTGCACTACTCAGACCAAGACAATCCAAACTCTGCCAAGACAGTCAATGAAGCTGTGCTGGGCAAAACAGTGGACAAGACGTGTTCTACGACCCTGACTTATCATTCTAAGCTTAGCAATTTTGCAAGGACTGACTTAACCTGCAGTATTCTCTCTCTTTTTATTGCATGCATACCTCACCTTTCTTACAAGGGGCCTGAGTCTCTCTGCCCAGAGCATCCTTGTCTGAGATAAGATGAGGTAGTGACTGACCCAAGATCCCCTTTCATGGGAAGTGGGGCAAGGACATCTGGTGGCCCTTTTCAAAAGAGGGGACTGCGTTCCTTTGGGGGTGTCCGACGCTCAGCCTCCTCCTGGTTGCTTCCACAAAAAGCAGGGCAACTGTGCATGCAGGCTGGTAGTGGGGAGCCCACTAGCCTTTTGAAGCCCTCACAGGGCTTCGCCCACAAAATGCATGCCCAGGTTTGGCACTGGGAGAACTGGGAGCTCAGCAGTTAACAGAAAATGGGGAAAGCAGATGTTCAGGAGTAGGAAAAAGGGGACAGGCGCACAAGTAACTTAATGCAAGAGACCCCCTCTTGCAGAGCGCTGCATCATGCGCGCTGAAGCATGTACAGTTAGGGCAAAGCCCTCTTTGCGCTCCTCTCCCTCCAGATCCCTTTTCACTAGAAGTATCCTCTCCTGCTGGCCTGTCCCACTGAGAAAGGACGCCCTCTCCCCAGGCTTCTAACAGCATGTTCAAGCAGCAGAGGCAGCGAGCTGCGCTCAAGGGCATGGCTATTTCCAATCCACAAGTGGCTTTCCGAGTTTTGAAGAAAAAAAACGGGGGCATAGCTGAAACAGGACCGTCACTGACAGATCATGAAACCTTTTCGAGAAGATGCTGTCCATCAGCAGCAGCAGCCTCCCCCAGCCCCTCGTTTGTATCTCCGCCAAGGGGGACCCAGAAGACAGCCTGGCACGGAAAGAACCTTGCTATGGCTCAGTTTGCGCT